TAAAAAATCTACGGCCAACCCTTGGCCCGTGTACAAACTCAGGTTTTGTATTCCGCTAAAGGTGGCCCTCATTTCAACACCATAGGTGTCAGCATGATGACAGCATGTTCCTTACAGTCTCCATGGTGAGAGCATGAGAGGAATTGGGAAAGCTGCTTTTACAAGGCTTTTTACAATTTAAAAAGGTTTTTTTTCTGCCTGGCCAGACAGAACCATTGACGCACCACACCCAGAGATAACTGAGCATCAGGGGGTCTGCCACTGCCTCAGGGGGTGCTTGTTGAGCCTCTTTCTTTTTTTTCCTTACATAGAATGTACAAGTTTCTATTTCTAGGTAAATGGAGTAATACTCCTACTATAGGTAGCTCCACTCAAAATGGTTCTTAGCAATAATTGGTGGCAATCTACGGTACGCCAATTAAAAAAACTCTATTTTCCAAAGTGTCCCTGAGATTTTTTTTTTTTCAGTGAAAGGAACTGAGAACTAATCAGGTTATCAGACTGTGATTGAGACTTTCACTTATAGTGTTGCTTTGTGCAGATAATCCCTGTGAAGGCTTAATTGTGGAATGGAACTTTGGAAGAGATAGCAACAAATAATGGCTAGCCTTGAGTACCGTTCTTTTCACTTTTCAGAGTGTACACAACTTACAATGTACCATGTCCAGTATAATAAGAAACCGTGGAGGAAGGAATAGACAGGAGTTGGAACGACCATTGGATCTGTTCCGTCCTCCATGTAGAAACTCAACCCTAAACATGGGGGGGGGGGGGGTTGTCATGCAAAGTACGCATACTGTGTTTTATTTCTTGGAATGAACATTGTAAGACCGTCCATTTTCAACTAAAATTAGTATTCAATTTTTTTTAACTGCGATTGGCCGAATATTAAAATATTCGAGACTTTCTGATCGATTTTTACACACACCAGTTGTATCTCTGTGGGGTGCCGGTCAAAAGTTGCACGCAAAGCATGCTGGTTAAAATTTGTGTGAGGCGAACAATATTATGGGCCACTGGATTGTTTTGCAGTGCATGTATTTTATAACTGTCAAGGATTTTAACATGCTAAAAGGATTGGAACAATGAACTGCCTTTAACAACAAGTTACCGCCGGCAAAAAAATGGCATCTGACAATAAGGCACCCAACATTACAATTAAAATAATATAACACTTTAACAGTTAAATATTCAAACCAGCTAAAATATTTTTGAATATTTCAGTCGATGATCGAATATTCGGTACATTCGGGACAGCTAGAAGTAGAATTTTGTACTTTTCTTTGCAAAATCAAGTACCAAAAAATTCTTGAGTGTTCCGAAAAGACCACTGCCAAAAAGAGACTCTTACATCCATGCCAGAAATTCAAGCGTACACTGTTTTTTTTAAATTTCTCTGTGGTACAACTGACTTGCCACCCAAGAATAGCTGAACTTGCAACACACAGTGACAACATTGTTATCATTTCATATCTCAGTAACTACACAAACAAATGCCACCAACCCATCTGTCATAATAAAACTGCCACTATGGGCTTCCTACAAGACAAGACCATGGAGCAAGGAACAGAACATCTATCATGTTTATCATGAATGTAGACTTGTCAAACAGTTGCATGTGGGAGTAAACCACAAATTACAAAAGGGGGTTGCAGCTGTTTTGACACATACCAATTGGCACCTTTTGATTCGATTTGTCAGGTTTTTGCACTAAAATACAGGTGGAGAACATAAAATTATATTGAGATTGATGTCCGGTGTCAACACAACATTGGTTATGTATCCTAATGAGGTTGCATTTGCACCACCATTTGTTATGCCATCAAGGACTTGGAACATTCAAGGATAAGTTCTGGTGAGGGGATTGTCTAGATCCAAAACTGGACTCTCTCTCCCCCCCCCCCCCCCCCCTCTACATGTACAGGTGTTTGCACACAGCTGCAAATGTAGTCCCTGGCGTGTACAATGTACAGATAGGTATGCGAATTCAATCACAGGACGCAAATTCCATATTATGAATACATGTGAATTGGTATATTAGGCCAAAAAAAAAAACAATTCTGCTTCCGATAACATGGCATTAGAAAATAGGGTAGGTAGGTAGGGAATTTATTTTGTTTTGCCAATTTTTTTGGTGTATGATCATATGGAGGCTTCTGCGTCTCAAGGGTAAAAGGTAGAAATGTATGGTTTTCGGTGTTTTTCCTCGTTTTTCCCATTAAAAAAAAATTAGGGTATATATTATAGGGGCTGTCAGAATAGGGAAGGTAGGGAAACCGGAAGCAGAACTATTATTTTTTGGGGCCTTATTGCTTAAACAATGCCCCCCAAAAAACTCACGAAATAAATTAATATTGTCGTAACAAATTTATCTTCCAGAGTTTCACTACAACACTTGTTACAACTGTCAACATTTAGAATAAGTCACAATGGTTTAAATTAAACACAAGATGCCACAAGTACTGCAATTAGTCAACACCCACGATCAAAACATTTCGACTATCTGAGTTTCTAATAGCTTAACGTACATGTGTTCATTCAAAATGTTTCAAGGACTTTTGTGATGAAATCAAAAAAATATTCAGAGTGCATGTAAACAATTATCCATGAAATTGGCAAACACTGAATAAATCCACAGAAAATATACATTTTTATGTAGTTTTGGTGCAAGTCACATTCACATTTTGGTAGATTTTTCTTGGCATGTTTTTTTCATAATCCGGTATCTGCTCTTTTTGAAAAATGTGCACGCATCATACTAAAACTACAAAAGCACAAGTGCTCACAGATGTGTAGCACTAGCAGCAAAGGAATTCTTTAAAATATTAATTAAAATATTACAAGTTACACTTGCAGTCTTGTTTCTCATTCTCTGAATTTAAATATGTCACAATGTATTTACTTTCAAATATTGAGATAAGATTTGAAATTTTGAATATTTAACTATTTTGGCAGTCACTCTACATTATTGCCATTTTACACATGAAACGATAGCGTACATTACACTCGCGGTCATCCCAGCCCCCAATCATACTATAATAAGCACAATCTTGATTTCCATTCCAATCATTAGGCTCTCTTTCATTCCAATCTTTGAAACCCCCCGCCATTCCGTCAATCCAAATGAAGAGACCCTCAGACTGCGCATCAGTGAACCCAATCCAGAATACCTCCCTGCGAACTGACATTGCGTAGTGGAAAACAAAATCGTTTTCGGCAGCGTCTGAAATGGACACCAAGTGAGCAGATTCTGACAAATCGGCGCAGTATCGTTCGGCCTCCGTAAACGATTTTGTCTCAGTTTTGTACAGGTAGCAGTGACCTTTGAACCTCAACCATGGGGGCGGGCAACTGCGAGAATGCTGTAGACTGCAACTTGCTTCACTGTTTCCGGTGGTAAAAGTCATCCACAGCAAAATACACGTACAATGTAGAAAAATCATGATGGAGCTTCATTGAATAATCCAAGTACAAGTCAGAAAGAAAAAACTATAAAACAAATTCATGAACACACTGTGCAAGTAGTTCAACCACTTGAGTTTGACACTGTACTTGAGTCAATTTCTTTCTCAAAAGTTATTTTCCCTGTTTTTCTTTTTTGCTGAAGGAGCACATAGTGTACCATTAATGCTCGCAATTTTCTTACTTAGTTACTGAGCAGTTGCAAGCACACGTTCCCGGAATGTCCTCACTGTGACGGAGTCTTTACGCACATCATTTGCAAATTCCAAACAAGTTTTGGATGCACCATGACGTACACGTGTCAACTTTGAAAGTGAATACTTGTAATTGTTTTCAGCGGTAGAAAAAAAATGGCATCTTCATCCATGTAAATAAATATTTGAAGACCAAAAACAGTTCCAATTCCTCACAAAATCCAAGGGGAAAAACTGATCTTGACCTAAGTTCGAATCCACAAGTGCTGAAAATTGTTTATTAATCGTCTCTGTATACGTACACGTCCATTCTATGATTCCAACACTCTAAATTGGTAAGTCCTTTGAGAAACACAGGTCTTCCAAGGAACAGCTTCTGAAGTTCTGTCTGAAAGCTTTAGCTACCGTACTGTAGACGTAACCATGTCAGTGCATAATTGGGCCCACGTCAAGTTCAATCCCAAGAGTGATTTATTAGAAATTGATGAAGTCTTCAATTCATGCTGCCGTAATTAATTTGAAGCTATTCTTTGGGAGATTACCGTAGGTCTTCACTTTACATTGTCCATCATCATTAAGTCAAGAGGCATTTCAAAACCTTGACTTGTGTTCAGTCAAATCCTTGCAATATTTGATAGACTTGACGAAATTACAAAATGTATATATTTACTAGACACATGATGACACATGAACCTCCAGTACGTAGTATGAAACTCCATATTAAATCAGATGTTGGACAGTGGCTCTGCACACGTGAATGTCTGATCCTCAAACCACAAAGTAGGCCTACACTACAAATTGGGCCAAAATCACCCTTCACAATGAAAGAGTTATCATTAATTACGCACACGATCCTTACTTCACAATGTCAATCATCATTACAAGCAGTACTATTCCAATTGATTTTCAGACTTCAGACACTGGCATGGCAGTGAAGGGTCTTCAGGACTGACACCTGTCTGTAAACAGTCTACTTTCAATATTCAATGAGCATGATGAGGAGACAAAGACCGCATCACTCGCTTTGCGGTGGAGCTGGCTTCGCCTCCTCACCAACTTTGCAGTTCGTTATTATATTAGCACAAACCTTGGGTCCGACTGCTATGCTACTGTATTTAGTTCTAGAAACATGTAACCCCCCCCCCCCCCCCCACACACACACACACACCTCCCCCCCCCCCCACCTCCGTCATGTGGTCGTGGTCGTGACCCCGTGTAGTGACCCCTGCCGAGATCCGCCCGTCATGCCCGCACAAATACAATTTCTTTTTATTCTTACAATACATTTACAATTATAACGCCCTTAAAAAAACCCTGTACAACTTACAAGTAAACAGTTTTTACCTGGTTGCTGTACGCTACTGCCCTCGCACGCACGTAGAGTATGGTTTTCTGGCTAATCTGTTAATCATGCTGCTAAATAGGCTTAGGACGTATACCTCGCATCGTACTGCACGTCACGCCTCATCATACGATCGATCGTGTTTTGATTTATTGATTACGCGCCAAATGGAAAGCGCCCTCTGTTGAGCATTAACTTAACGCGCAAAGCAAGCACATCGCTTGTCACACGTCCACATTTATTTGGATTGAATTTTCGAGCCATTAGTACACTGTATTTCTTTAAATCATATTAAATTTATTTTTCAAGGGTTCTCGTCGATTTTCAGCATTTTTGTGTCCTATATCCCGAACAATCAGTGAACGAAATTTCAATTTAGTGCAATGTGTTTTTCTTGAGTTATCGTCTCCACAAAGTGTGTTTTATTTTTATTCACTCAAAGCCGACATCGTTTGGGCAGTCTTTTTGAGACGGTGATCGATCGTGATCCGCGTTGACAAAGTCTTTGTGGCGCGCCCTCTCTTGGAAGAAATTGATGTTGGTAAAATGTACGCGAGTGCCCTTATACACTGTAGTTTTTGTTTTTGTGGTATTAATTTTGTTCTTTAACGGTTTCTGTCAAATTTCAAAGATATTGTGTCGTATATCACGAACAATTACTGGGCGCAATTTCAATACAATGCAATGCGTTTTTCTTGAGATATCGTCTTCACAAAGAGCGCTTTATTTTTGTTCAATTAAAAGTGAGTTGAATTTGGATGGAATTTTTCGAGATGAGTACACTGTATTTCTCTAAATCATATTAAATTTATTCTTCAAGGTATTTCGTCGACTTTCAACCTGTTTGTGTCCTATATCCCGAACAATTATTGGACGAAATTTCAATGCAGTGCAATGTGTTTTTCTTGAGTTATCGTCTCCACAAAGAGCGCTTTATTTTTGTTCAATTAAAAGTGAGTTGAATTTGGATTGAAATTTTCGAGATTAGTACACTGTATTTCTTTAAATCATATTAAATTTATTCTTCAAGGGTTCTCGTCGATTTTCAACCTGTTTGTGTCCTATATTCCGAACAATTATTGGACGAAATTTCAATGCACTGCAATGTGTTTTTCTTGAGTTATCGTCTCCACAAAGAGTGCTTTATTTTTGTTCAACTAAAAGTGAGTTGAATTTGGATTGAATTTCTCGCGATTAGTACAGTGTATTTCTTTAAATCAAATTAAATTTATTCTTCAAGGGTTCTTATCGATTTTCAGCATTTTTGTGTCCTATATCCCGAACAATTAGTAAACGAAATTTCAATAGTGCAATGTGATTTTCTTGAGTTATCGTCTCCACAAAGTGTGTTTTATTTTTGTTCTCTTAGTTTTGGGCAGATCGTGATACGCGTTGACAGAAGTCTCGGTGGTGACCAGTATTTTTGTAGAAAAAAACAATCTTCATTTCAGCACTGATTCGCTGATTAAAAAAACATTACTGGCCTGACACCCCCCCCCCACCCCCCTTATTTGCAAAAAAATGCCGGGATCCACCCCGGGAGGCGGGGCCACCAGAGGGCCATATTTTTCTGGGTTTTTAAATTGTTTGGGGGGGGGGGGGAAGTACTTTTCGACTTATGGATTTAAGTGACACCAACTGCAATTTGCGTTTTTGTGTGTTTTTATTAGGTTTTCAATAGTCTTGCTAAATGTTTTTGTTTGTTTTCACAATATGCTACTTCAATATTCGACAAAAGCCAACAATAAATTATTGTAATGACATTATATCTAAAGCAAGATTCATACAGGCGGCCGACAACACTGTACTTTTCCAGTGAAAATGAAATGACTTCTGTAGGGTGCTCCGTAACTTTGGGTTAATCTGTCACTAAGCTTGCCTGCCAATTTATTTATTACACTCACTTTAATACTGCATAATCATTTAAATAATATTCTTCCTTCTACCATCATATTTAATTTATAAAATAATAGTCCTGATCATTGAGCCAATTAAACATTCCAAATACCATCTCAGCTCCCTGGGGAGTATACAGCTCGATGCTACCTGTTAGGCGAAAGCATGCTTATTCAAACACAATAACCATCTCTGCTCTCACAGGTACCCATTTGCTCCTGGGTGGAGAGAAGCAATGAGTGACAAAGTGCCTTGCTCAAGGGTACACGCACCATGACTGGACTTGAACCCACAACCCGCAGCTTTACCCACAGACCACGAATCCAGTGCCCTTAACCACGAGGCCAAAGCAGATAGTGTGAAAGGGAGTTCAGTATTAAAGTTAAAAGCAGGCTAATACATTAATTTGAATCGTCCGCCTCCTCCTCCTCTTTTTGCCTGTCATCTCCGCCCCCTCCCTGTCCCTCGCTCTTCTTCCGTTCTCGTTCGCTCCTCTCTGCCGTGGTCTGTTCAAAGAAGTAGTCAAAGGCAAAATTCTTCTCGTCTGGCGCAAGGGCTTTGAACTCCTCTGCTTCTGTGATCACCTCAATCTGAAAAACCCCCAGAACACACAAAAAAATGAATCCTAAAAATCTGAAGGTGATTTCCTTCTGCTTCTGCCTCGGAACAACAGTGTTGTAGCTCTGCCCAATTTAGCTGAATTTTGACACGACACATCACATGTAATCAAGCCATCAATCATAAATATATCCTTGTGCATTGTTGGAAATAATAATGTCACAGTAACTGACCTGAGCAATGAATTCTTGCTCGCTCCCATCTTGTAAATTCAGGTCGGTGATTCTGTTGAACAGCTCTCTGGGTGTGGCGACATTTGGAACACCTCGATGAGTGAAAAACTGGGAAGGAAAATATATAGCTCACTTTCTTAATCAAATTTTCTGAAATGACCTGAGTTGCGGTGTATGAGGTTGGAGGTTCCTGAAGATTGGACTCATTCTGATTTAAATACTTCAAAGAAGGGAAGCTAAAACTTCTGAAGAGGAAAACTAGAGGTAAAAAAAAATATTTCAATAAACCATTATATCCATGAAATTTACCGTAATGCAATTTTCAGCACTTTTTACGGAAACTCCAAGCTTTTTTGAAGGGTTAAGTCTGGTTCATACTTAGCACGACAATGTTCAAGTTTTCATGCTGCGAAACCACAAACGTTGAGCTCTGGTAAATTTCATGACGTCCAATTTGCTTCACGATCACGTGAAGTATAAACCGGTCATTATGCAAACTCTATATCGAGAATTTTAAAAGTTTTGAAAAAATTGAATGAAATGTTCGAAAGGACAAAAGGACACACAAATCCATAGCTCATTCTCAAGACAGCCAGACTCTCTTGTTCTTGGATAGAACAGCTTCACTGATTGGCTTTTAAATGAATGGGACATCATCCGAGCACACAAGCCTCAACCAATCAGCATACTTCTCGGTACTCACATTGGAGACATTGGTGCAATCCCGAAGCAGGAATTTGAGCCCCTCCGGATGAAATGGCTTCACTGATTGGCTGACGTCGATGAACCAGACTTCGTGATTGAACCACATCATGTTGTACTCGCTCAGATCTGCGTGGACCAGTTGGCAGCGCTTGTACATCCTCTCCATCATCTGGTAAAATAATCATACACTGTGTACTTTGAACGAGTTGGTTAGGCGCCAGGTGGCATGCCACTGTTTCAGTAATTACAAAAAATAATTATAAGAACTTTTCTGGTAACTTCATGAAGGCAAGACTCAAGATGAAATCCGGTATTTTCAGAAGGAATGGACTCCTGATGTTGACACACAGCTACATGACAAAATGGTAAGAAACATGAATTTGTGAGACCGTTGCATCCTATACTGACCTCTGTGCACTGTTCGTAAGCAAGCAGCATGTCATCAGGCGATAACTGCGCATCTTTGAGCTTAGGAGCGGCTTGCTGATGCTCACCGATGAAGGACAGAACCAAGATGTGTTTCTTGAGGAGAATGACCTCTGGACAACGGACGCCTGCCTTACGCATCCTGTAAGAAATGATTGAAGAAGTACCTCAAAACACAAGGAACGCTGACTGTGTTTGAAATAAAGTGAAGTGAATGGCAACAGTGCATCACTACAGGATGAAATCATGGTCAGACAGTTCTGACTCATCTACCATATTTGTCCGAACCAACACAGAAAAGCTGAATCAAATTTGGTAGGACTGTATATGGTAGTGCTGGGATTAACAGGTTTTCAAGCAGACCCGGGTGAAAAAGCACAACAGAAGGACTGTAGGATCAACATTTTTCCCAAACATAAAGAACAAATATACAACATAGGACAAACTGAAGATAAAGTAGGATTATTGCGGGCTTTCAGGAGTGAAATCGGACAATATTTAATTTACGTCATGACTTACATGTTGAGGTTCATTCGTTCCTTGTCAGCCCACATGCTGATGATCTTGCGTGGGTTCATACGACTCAGTGCATCGGGCAGGTACCTCCGGCGCGTCCGGAACTCGTTCAGTGTCGTCTTGAAGACCTTGAGGGCGCACTCACGTGGGACCAGCAACCTCTGGTGCCTGATATGGGAACAAGAAAGGGGCAAGGATGAGGAAACATAACCTTCGTGGTCAAGCCGATGGCATGTAAAGGCGCCTTGGGAAGTCATCATGTGACCCATGTCTGACCAGTTAGTACACAGACCAACAGACAATCAAACAAACACAATCCTACTTACTGGCCTCCGTTAGCATGAAGCACCACGGCCTCCTTCCCAGTGCTGATTGTTCCATTCACTGATTCTAAGATGCCGTTGTTGACCAACTTGTACAGGAGTAGTCTAGTATTGGGGTCCATGGCCATGACCTACAATGTACAAAGAGCGTTTTAAGGGACCACATAGAACATATTTTTATGTAATTTTCTCTGTTTTGTACTGTTTTACAATAATAGCACACCCTTTTAGATAAATATTTTTAATAACATTTTTCAATACAGGTAAATGTATGTGACAATACCTATGGTATTTTCAAATGCATATGCTGCCTTAGCGCCTACATTTTCTGCTTTGTATCTACATTCACTTAGCAATGCCCTGTTAGCATCGCCTTAAACCTCAATCCAAATCAAAACAGAGACACAAATCCTCCTTTCTCCTGACTTACCGCAGTGGAGTGTTCTTTCTTTTCATGCACACGATGCGTCTTGCGCTCAGCCATCTGGCTGTGCTGCTTGAGTGAATTGAAGACGTTATTGGGGAGCTTCATGTCCATTCCAACGTCGTCACCACTGTTGAAGCCTGGCGGGAACTGAACACAAAGAAAAACATGACAGAAAAAGACTTATAAACAGCGTAAAATCATCATGCACATTTTAGCAAGCTCATTCCACCACTAAAGTCATTATTCCCTTGGTGAGGTTTGTTTGTCAACGTACCGCGACTTTCCCGTAGAAACAGAAAATTATTATGAAGACAGCCGGGGAACAAACGTCCCTGTCAGCTTAATACTGCAATAATGCCCGGAACTGTCGCAGAAGGTTTCCGAACAGTCAAGGTAGATTAACAGGGGCACCGATAAGTCCAAGGGGAACAGCCCAACGCTGTAAAACTACCGCGTCAACAAAGTCCCCCCGGAAGGAAGTCCAATGGGAATTCTGCTTCAGTCGGCTTAACTTGGAAAAAAATGGGGTTTTTTTGGAGGTCGCAAGATAAAATCCCTCTTCACTTAATTTTGTCGTCCTTAAAATTTGGTTGCTCACTTTTTCCATGACTTTAGATGCGTTCTTCCTCCCGCAAACAGCAGCGTCGTGTTTCGTTGTCATGACGCCGTTCTTGTCTTTTGTAGTTGGGATCTTTTTTGGTGAGGACACTCCTGCAGATACATGAACGCACAGACAAAAGGTTTGCTGTGATTTCTCACGAATAAAATGATCCTCCTTTCAAACATGACATTTTTTTTAACCCTTACTTTCTAAGATATCATTCTTGGGATTTTCGTGAAAAATAAACTTGCATACTGTACTTATGTCTTGCTGTATATTTACATTATATTCACGGTTTATTATTGACTTTGGATCTCTTGTGTTTTTGTTTTTAACCTTTTTTTTCTTTTTTCTCCATGTTCCCACAGATAACTTGAAATGAAATTCCATGATTTTTTTTAAGACAAATTTAGGGGTTTCCATGACCAATTGCTAAACTCTTTTAACATCTTAGGAGCCTATTGCTCTGGAGGCAAGAGACACCACTCCCTTTCAGCCTTCCAGTTTGACACAAAACCAACGAATCAACCACCGGCCCTCGATTGACCGTGCTCATAACCGTACATCATCACTGACCCTTTTCAGTGTATTCCCATGTTTCGTCGTCATCATCTTCATCATCACTGTCAGAGGTAACGTCAAATGCAAACTCATCATCTTTGCGTATAGCTGGATGCACTGCACGGAAGTTGGCATAGGAGATACCCACTGAGCAAGTGATGACAGAAAAAATAGAGAAAAGTTAAACACTCAGTAAGGACCTGTGACCAATTTAATGGCACTACGAAGTACACAAAGGATGCCCATTACTTCCAATTCACTCTTGAACAGTCTAGCTCTAGACAGATTGTAATAAGAAGTGTAAAGGTCATATACAAAATTTACAAACGTAAAAAAAATAAAAAAAAAAAATTTCATGAAATACCGTGGTATTATAATTGTCTCAAGCATCCTGTGAAATCATGGCACCTGGTGTGCTGCCATTTTCAAGGAAAGTGGAATTTTTGTATCAATTTCCAACGATGGTCAGCCGACCATCATTGAAAAAAAAAACTGACTTTTTTCAAATACTGCCTCCAATTTACCAGATATAGTTAGTCCACATTTGGTTTGCAAGCTGTTACACATCCATGAATGTGTGCAAACCAGCTAGTCTGGTTCCCTGACCTGACAATTACTTCTATACATTGCTCCATTTTGTCTGAAGTAGGGTCAGGGCACCAGACTACAAGAACATCATTTTTTTTTCTTGGTTTCTCCGTCATCTATGAACACAAAACTTTAAACACGTCATTGTACAATACTAACCCCCAGATCCATCCATTTCTGAAAATTACAGGAAAAGAGAATATTATCATAAATAAATTATTTAAAAATTATGCAAATTATGCAAGTACCTTTGCTGTTGGCGTTCTTCTTTTTCTCCTCCACGTCCAGCAAGTCGTCGTGTTCCTTGTCAAACTGCAGCTGCAGCATCTGAGCCAGCAGCAGGTCGCTGTCTGTGTCTGTGGTACCACTGCTGCTGCCGCTAGCAGCTTGTAGGGTCCGTGCGTACTTGTAGTCAGTCAGGGAACTAAGGGAGGCGTAAAGCGGGACGGAGTATTGGTGAAAAATAGACAACAATTAGCAGTGATACAGTCAAGGCCTCTGAGACCAAGACCAAGACAGACACCGAGACCTTTACTTCTGCAAAAGACTGAGGCTTTCACTTCCAAGACTAATCCCTATACCTCCAAGTCCAAGACCTTGTAATCTCACGACCCAAAGAATGAGACTACATGTAGTCCGAAAAATTTGAGACTCTCAATACTGTGTATGAGAGCCCCAAAACGTAAGGTACTGAAAACATGCAATACAAGAAAATGGGGGGGGGGGGGGGGGTCCCAAGGTCCGTTTTCAATTCATCTAGGTAAATTACCTTTGTGCCTGTTGTCCTCCTGTATCAACCCTTCCCGTCCCCGTCTCCTCATCTTGCTGCAACTTCTTGGCAAACTCCTCATCCATCACGCTGGCCAGGGAGCATGCTGGGGCCGTCGCAGCGGGAACTTTCCACGGGTTTCGCAGTGGGGAGGTCTCTGGAACGGGCGTGACGACTTTACCAGTCGATGCCATCTTAGTTACAGCACCTTGAGTCTTACCTGTAGTTACATGTATGTTGGAGGAACATCAGGCACGCTAAACATGTTTTTTTTTTGGCCTTGCATCCTAACACCACTTATTTTCATCAAAGGGATCATCTCAATGAAGGTCAGTCATTGTAAAAATGTTGAAAGACATGAATTTGGGCTTGCTGGGACCGAGTTTCCAATTTTGTTAGAAATAGTCCTACTTTGATATTCTTCTTGACTCTGCATAGACTTTCTTACACAACCAACGAAGTGGTGTCTTGATACTACATTCTTTCTGTACTACATGTAGTTACACTTGAATACATGCACAATCAATTGCCCAAGCAAAATAAAATGGGTAAACGACTAACAGTACCTATCTGAGATGTGAGCCGACAATAGGCCTACTAGTACTCCTATGTAGTAAATCATTGTAAATTGAAACATATTACAGTTTACTTTACTTTTAAATATTCCCACTTTGTCTTTATTCTATAGGTAGGCCCATAGGCCTAATAATTATATTAATAACACAATTATTCTTTCAAATAAACAAAATGATAAAAGCGTAATCGTTCTTTTATATCTTCAATCATCGTCTCGGTATAACAATGTATAAAGGTAAAATCCTAAACAATGATAAACAGTTAGGCTATCAGTAATCATGATGACTGAGTTATTCTTACAAAATTGTAGTTCAATGCAGATTAGGGTTTGTTGTGCAACTCCAACAAACAGCTGAACAGACGACAGACGTAAATTCTCACTTCAGCTTGTAAAGGCTGCACCTACACTGGCTACAGTTAGAACAGCTGAAATTGAAATGATGTTGGTTGGTTGTCAACCTACAGTCGGTTAAAAACAAGAGAAGCACTATTTCCTTGCGTTTATTAATAACCTAAAAATAACTAATTTCCAGAAGTTGTGCAATAATAATGGGCCACAAAATTTACCGTATGTGCGTCAATATCATGTCAGTGCAAATACGCACGTACTGGCGCGCCTTACAGGAAGTCTGGTTTCCCAACCATCGTATTTCACGATTGGTGAATGCACAAAAAGTATGGTTCCCAGTATTGAATATTAACGAAACGCCGGCTTCGTTTCCAATTTGGCTTCAAGACACCAGCAGCTTTCCATGGGGGCGCTGTTCAAAATAGACATCCGGTATGATACAATAGGTGGCGCTATTCCCTTTCTACGGGAAGTAACATGATAGCCCATTAGCGAAAAAAAAGGTTTTCGTGAAAAAGAAATTACACAAACATGAAAAGGCACTTTATGTTAAAACCCGCTAATCGTGGTAGCTTACAGGACTGTGCTTTTCTCCGATTGCCAAATTTCCAGGGGGGGGGGGAGGGGGAGGGGCGACAATTTGTTTTATTGGGAGGGGGGCGATGTTGCAGGCGTCGGTAGTGGGGACGTTGGTGAAGAGGGAGACGACATCAAAATTGCATGCCCATGATCTCGTTTTACCGAGATGCCCCCCCCCAAAAAAAAAATGCTCGCCGGTAGGAGCATCGGTAAGTAAGATTAAGAGGGGGTTGCGGGGGTGTGGGTTACAACAAAGTTGCCTACGGATCGGACCATCCGTGCTCATAGGTAGAAAGGTAGATTTTTTTTCTTCGGGCAGCCGGACTCTTAAAATGGATTAGCGGTTGGACAGAAAGGGCCCAGGGGGCGGGGGGGGGGGGGGGGGGGGGGGTCACGACAAAATTGTCTTGAGGAACTGACTTCATGACATTCTGAAGAATAATTAGAATAATTCATTTCCTTTGCACTATTTTAGACTCGGGGGCATGAAAACGTGGCGTTTTAAAGATTAAATGATATAGCGGCAAACTGGGTATTCAAAGTTAAATTGACCTCTCGAAGGTCACCAGGGGTCAGATATGAAATTTCCCACATCTGAAAATTATTTTCATGGTATGAAGCAGTACTGGTATGAAGTCATATGAAATAGACTTGGTTCATAAGAAAGTGCCATTCTCTAGAACAATAGCTATTAATAGAGTATAAAGGTCACCGACATCTCAAAGGTCACCAGAGATCAGACATGAAAAGCTTAATTCAGCTCCAGATTTGCTTTCTCCATGGCGTGATCTGTGAAGACCTGCGAAGTTTCATGCGTTTGTAAAAAGTCCACAACTGCGTCACACAACCTTAACAGCCTTACTATTATGAAAGAAAAAAGAAAAACTGACGATGCGCCCGTAGATTTTGGCTCCAAATTGAATTTCAACTAGGCTATTTTCGTTTGTTGTCTGGAATCAAGTTGAGATGGAAATTATATTGCAATATTTACACAAGATCGCCTGGATCCTCTGTCGCCGTAAAACCAGAGACTTTTTTGTGTGTAAGAAGGCACTAATTAGTCCACTACAGTTTCCCTTCAATCTCCCAGTGAAAAATAGGCCTACTGTACCTGACGAAATTGTTATAGTCACTACAGAATAATGCCTTATAAACGAACATGGCGGGGTCCACAAAAGATGTTTGTTATAGTGGTCGTTTGTTATAGTGATCATGCATTACATTTACAACAGAATTTACTATTTCGGGAGCCAAGGGGATAATTGTTCGTTATAGCCAAATGTTCGTTATAGCCAAATGTTCGTTATAGCGGTGTATTGAATGTTCTTGGAATCAAAATGTTTAATTGCGTAAATGACTACAAGAGGAACATAAACGGATGTGGTTAAAAAAAATCAAACATACAAACCGTGAAAGGCATGACGGAAATTCAAAACTGTCGGTTTTCTTTGAATTAAGCAACCAAAAAACCCCAAAAAAACCCAACATTAAATTCTGGTTTGCGAGGGGAAAAGGTGTCTGTTTGCAGATTTACACAGATATAAATTTCCTAAAAATATTTCCTGGACACAAAGAAATTGATGTGTGTTAGTACAACTCTGTACCACGTTTTTTTGCAGAAATATCATTGAAAACTTTCATTCCACTGCAATTGTCATATAACACTTTAGTTGTAACACTGTTGCGATTCGAAGATCTTCCTTTATACCTTCCTGAACAAAATCAATTGGGGACACTGAGAAGACGTTGTTCAGCATGTTTCCTTTGGTTTTCCTTGCCGTTGTGGCTGCTACGACCGTATCATCTAACTTCGATTCTCCGGTTGAGACTTTAGTGAATGAGGGAGACAATGTGACTCTGAAATGCGAAGAAGCAACCCGCTTTGATAACGGGTCAGCCTGCCAGTCATTCACCGTTTTTTTTGGAACAGTAGTAGTCAGGAATACCTAACAAACTGTGGACATGTCAACTCCAAGTTCAAGGATCGCATGACTGCATCCAAGAATGACGGATTGTACACCCTCACTATTCAAAAAGTAGTTGTTGCTACGAAAGCTTATGCACAAATGTTTCTTTAGTTAGTCATTAAAGTGCTACATTCGTTTTTTACTTCTGCTCTGCAATTATCTGACTAATGATACGGCTACCCACCACTTTTTTTACAAAGAATTTTGGACATTGTGCTGTCTTTTTCTTTTCTTTGGTGATACGTGTTGTGTAAGTACTGTCATTAATGTTCTTGGTTGATAACTTGCCCTTAGCTTGCCGTCACATACGAGACCCGACATTTGCCTACGTTTTTATTTACCTAAAGATAACTTAGTTGTCGAAGTTGTGCAATCCCCGGCCCACAACCAGGAAACCGCACAGGACGTGCGGTGAGTACATGCAGTGCGCAGCACGGCAATCCGATGTCATATGCACGCAAGTAATTAAAGGGATATTTAGGACTGAAATCCCCGAAAAAAAAGTTTGGCTTATTTAGTTATCCTATGTCAAACGTCTTTTTGAATAGAAAATAATGTCGCACGTTTCCCGAGAAAAGACGAAACATCCCTGTTGTTTACTTCTGACACGGCTGACGTTTTGTGGTATACGCATAAAAAAATATACGTGATTTATTTTTATTTTGCATAACATTCCTGTCCAGAGATAAAAAAGGTCTTATTCTTTTACACGACCCTATTTTAATTACATGTAATTTGAACAATTGGAGCGATTGAGACTGGTTCCCTCCCCGCATTGGAATGAAAGGATCGGGAACCAGTGTGTAGCTTGACTTTTTTGTACACTGAATATCGGAATGAACTACGAGCTATCTAGATTTTATTTTTTACATGCAAACATGGCTGTTTGTTAATCCTCGTTACCAATGTTGTCATTGTTCTTCAGTGATAAACGCATTGTCACTTAAGTGACAATGCGTTTATCACAGAGGAACAATGACCACAGCGGCTCTGTACTTGCAAAACCTATTTTGAAATGTGTACATGTACTTTGTCACACTTTGTCTCTACATTTGCCAACATTGGTAAAGAGGATTAATAAACAGCCATATTTGACCGTAGCGGAAGTATGCGGTCGGAATGTAGGCTGAATGTTTTTTTAGTCTAATGTTTTGATTTCGTAATTGATAAACGGGGAAAAAGTTAAGGATGTGGTTCGAAAAAAAAACACACCAAAACAATTCGTGAAAGGCGGGACGGAAATTCAAAACTGTCGAAATTCTTTGAAACAACAACATCGAATGATGATTTTGCTTGTTTGTGAGGGCATAAAAGGCCAGTTTACAGATTTACAGACGAATACATTTCCTTGAAAAATGTTCCTGGACACGAAGTAATTGATGTGTGTAACAGACGTACAACTCTGTACCACGTTTGCAGACATATCCGTGAAAACCACCATTCGACTGCCAATGTGAGGACACTTTAGTTGTATCACTGTTGCGATTCGAAGATCTTTATACATTCCTTAACCAAATCAATTGGGGACATTGAGAAGACATTGTGCAGCATGTTTCCTTTGGTTCTCCTTGCCGTTGCTGTGATTGCTGTTACGACCGTATCATCTGACTTGAACTTCGCTGCTCCCATTGAGAAAAAATCAGTAACTGAGGGAGATGAGGTGTCTCTGGTCTGCCAAGAAGCAACCCGCTTCGATAAAGAGCCAGACTGCCCGTCATTCAACGTTAATTTTTTGTATTGGAAAAGAATTGGTAATAATATTGTGGAATACCTGACACAATGTGGACGGGTCGAAAATCAGTTCAAGGATCGCATGACTGCATCAAAGGATGATGGATTGTACACTCTCACTATTCAAAAAGTTCGCCGCGAAGATGCGGGCGTTTACGAATGTCTCCTTCACGAGCGTATTAATTCTATTGATAAAGTGAAGGGAGCCGTTGCTTTGACAGTCAATGCCCAACCAAGTGGGAATTCCACGGCCCAACCAAACTGTGAAGTTCATCCCGAAGTGCCCAGTGTCGGTACGATCGCCAAGTTGGCGTGCAGACTCCCACCGCATGCTGCGCCTACCCAGCTGACCTGGCTCGAGTCCGGCTCTCATCCACTGGTCTCTCCAGGACCCACGACGCTGACCAGTCCCGGAGAAGGGTTCATCCTGCATCTTTACATCACCGAGCATGTTAGGAACAAAGAGTTCACGTGCGTAGCCGGCCGCGACCCTACCGACGGACCCAGCTGCACCGTACTACCGCTACGTGGTCTGACAAACGTCTCGGCCACTTCGAGTCCGAGTCCTGATTCGGCCACTTCGAGTCCGAGTCCTGATTCCACCACCGTTGACTGTGTGTTGACGGGTTCCGTGGTTAAGGCTGGGGGCGCCGTTGGAGGTTTGCTCATTCTGCTGCTAGCCATCGCTGTGGTGATTACATGTGTCAAAGTGAAGAAAAGATCTTCAGGATCGCAGCGCCAGATAGCCCAGTCTCAACAAGCTACTCTAGCAGGCCTCGATATCTCCTCACAACCAAACACTAGTAGGTACGAAGATGCCCCAAAAGCCGCAGCTACGCGTGCCGAGTCACTATACTGTTATATTCCTAACGATCATAAGAACAGCGGTGCGGCGGCAAGTGACGACCGCTCGACGTACGTGAACATAAACATCACTCAAGGCAGAGAGAAGCGATCTCCCCGATGGAAACTTGTCGTTCCAGGAGATCTCGAGTGAAACGCCAGACAGTCCTTACTCCCCAAAAACTGTATTTAGCAAATATACACAATCTTGCTATCAACTTGTAAATTATGTTTAGAAGCTATAAACATTACGTGTCCAATGCCTAAACATCAATGTTCAATTGTTAAATTTTATCCATCAATGCTCTAAATGTTTAGTAAACAAGTTTAGACAATGATAGCAAGGAAGTGATGTTTAGAAAAGATTAGTGTTCAATTGCTAAAGACCGTTTTTGCAGTAACGTTTGTGAGGCCGCGATATCGCCTGCAATATGAGATCTGTTCACAGTTCTTATATGAGTTTTAAAACTCGAGTTTGGAGGGGTGTTATCAATGCTATCTAGAATAGAATAAAATATTGCAATTATACAATGAAAAGTATAAACCAAATTGCAAGTACCAAGTAATGTACATTCGCAACAGTCTGCTGAACTGTAAAAGTAATGAGTGACTATAATACAACTGTGGTGTTAATTTATCAAGGACATTTTAATTAAAACAGACGACATAAAGGAATATCAGATGATAATCATAATGATCATAATTTTTGCAATACAGACTCATCTGTGAGCAACGAGGACGATATTGTACAGCAACCACAACGATCAAGTTTATTTATAGAAACGGCGTTTTGAGCTTTTAACATTTATGCAATGCATACATTAGATTTTCCCTTTTACGTTATAAATAAATTAACAAGTTGAAAAAAATTACATTTGTGAATGTTGACTGCACGTGATATGCTATTAATTGATGTATTATTATGTCGAAATGCCAATTAACGTTTACCTAGACATTGTGGAAGAAGTGATATAATAATGCAATAAGCAAAAAAAAAATACTTTAGGTTATTTTGAACCAGATTACCTCAACAATATCAGAAATGTGCATGTCTTCTTCGGAAATCACACCTGTTTTCTGCTACGAACGACGTCATGATGAATTGTTGATTGCTGAACAGAGAACGAAGAGAGTAAAATACTCCAAATACGATGGAAGCAATATCCAAGTACTTATCAAGCAAAAGTACATTCGTAACTGTTTATTTTAATACATTTAGGATCATTTGCTTTTCATGCATTTTGTTGTTTCCAAACAAAAAATACCACCCGAAATCCAATGATGAATCTGAAAAACCTAACCTGTTGAAGTTTCAGCTCAGTGGACATTACACCTTTCGATAAAACAGTGAAAATCCATGCCAACCTTTTGATCACGAAAACACGATGCCGTCTGGTCTACAACAGTCTTTGTTTCTAAAAGTCAGCTCCTTGACTTATCATCTTGATTTTTTCAAAATGACAGCAATCCAGACGGAATAACTTCACGGGATTTGAAGTACAAGTGCTATCATTAATCTCAATGATTTTTTTAAAGGTAATACTTCGGTATGTTACTTTTGGAATAAATGCAAATGATCCTATATGCCTTCAACTGTAATTCCATAGACAAAAAGTGCTTTAGTATTTTGTAGATATAATAATGGCGGCAGCGTATATATTAAATAATTAGGATTACTTTATTAAAATAAGAAAAAATGATGGAATAATCATATGATACTTAAGGCCATAACTTCACAATTTGTACATATTTAAAGCACATACAGCATAACATGCATAAGTCAGATCCGATAATCAGTAAGCAATTGCCAAAATAGCATTACTCCATTGCAAATCATTTGAATAACGGCAACGAACAGTTTTAAGGAACATGTTGATGGAACTTGAATGTAACGTTAATGTTTATTCTTAACAATTGATATTTACCATGATATATGACTTATTCTGTTGCTTCTCATTTCTTTTTAAATTTTGTATGTATACCTTTTACCCGAAGATGAATTAAAAGGTCCATGAAATGAATTTTACACTGGAGCATGTTAACTTTGTAGCAATAGACCTTTATCATGCTGCCACCATTTCAGTCATGTTCCCTGTATCCAATCACAGTACTGAATGATAATGTTTTTGTGAAAACAGGAACCAGACTATTTTTCCTTCCAGCCTCGCTTTGGTTACATTGATCTGAATGGGAAAACATCAAATGGCTGCAACATGATAATGGCATATTATCCATTTCTCTGAAATGTACATGTATAATAACTACGAGACCTTTGTAGTAATCCCTTCACAAATATTCCCTTCCCCCCCCCCTTGCTGGTTACGTCACTGCTTAAGTACTTGTATAAAATTATATTAAATTGTATTTACCCCTCAAGAAATAAACCCTAGAGTGCTAGGGCGGTTGGGGGCGCTTTGATGAGTAAATGACAGAGCGGTGGGGGCGCTTTGAGGACTGGCTGATATAGAATTAAAATTCGCTATGAACATTAAATAATTCCATGCTCCTTAAAAATACTACGTTGATTGCTCTGAACACTCAATTTCCCAGTATTAGACTTCTAATCCAGCATTCTATGTAGACACCAACATCAAAAAGTTTTACATACATGATATCTAAACAATAATTAAAGATCACCCACCCTTCTTTTTCCTTGAATCAAATATTAGTTATTCACGTATAGAAATGGCATTGTCTTTGTCATTGTAACCGATTATCCTCCGATTATCTTCGCAAAACATTTCCTCGCAATAACTGTTTCCGCAGTGGCGTCTTCAGGATTTTTTCTAGAGGGGGAAAAGCACATTCCCCCCCATCCCCCCCCCCCCCCCGTAAAAAAAATCACTCTTTTTTTTCAGCATATTCTCAATTGGTACTTGGTTGGTTCTTCTCCTAAGGACTTCCACAAGGGAATATAACTAGGAGGCCAGAAACATCGGGGCAAACCCCTTCTCTTAGCGATAAGTGCTACTGGGTTCTTTTACGTGCGTTACGCAATGTACAACACACGGGACCTCCGGCTTAACGTCCCATCCGAAGGACGAAGCAATACTGGTTAAGTGCCTTGCTTAAGGTCACAAGTGTCCGGGCCCGGGCTCGAACCCACGCCACTGTTGCCTCTGAAACACCAGAACATGAGTCCGGTGCTCTCAACCGCTAGGTCATGACACTCAGGGGGGGGGGGGGGGGGGGGGGGGGGGGGGGGGGGGGGGGAGGGGAAGCCCCCCCCCCCCCCGCGTATGGGTCTGCATATAATTATTCACAGTTAGGAGAGTCGGTCACCATCAGAGGATTTCCATAATTTTGGGACTAACAGAATATCCTATGGCCACTGAAACAATACATGGAAACTGAGGCCGATTTCTCATTACAAGTATCGAGTTTGCTACCACATATTCCGTCAGGCCCAGCAGCCGCCATTACCACATTTCAGTTCACGGAAAATCATCCCATTACTGTCCTCCTCCGTTCTCGAATCCCCTCACTTTATAATATTCCACCAAGAAATCAAAACAGATACATTTTTAAAAATAATTCATTATTTGAACGTACCAAAGGTGAATTGTGTTTATAACCGCTTTCCTGTCTGAATATACACACAAAACTCGAATTATAACGTCAGTATATTTTTGAAATGGCGCACGCACACGCACGTAGGGCGTAGTCCCATTCCGGTGTAGCGTGAATATCCGACTCCATGAAATGTTGACTCACTGGTAGTATTGCGCAAGCGTAAGTACGAGAATGTGCTATTTTTAGGATAACATAGGGAAGAGTGACCTGTCACGTGCGAGGGATTAACCATTAAGAGGAAAAAGGGAAACGATTTTCATAGGAGTCAGATTTTCACATGACACCGTTAATAGGTGAGCTCACGCTCGCTTGCACGGGCCCATCAAGCAGGAACGCGTTCTCGCTACTTAACAGTCATAATGGTGCCACCTCAAAGTCAACTCTGTTGCCACCATTCTTTTTGAAACAGCAGCAGAAAGCTACCTGAAGACTTTCTTGTATTTTAAACTCATAGATGATAGGGTTGATGACAGAGTTAAAATTGAAGGCAAAACTGCAAATTGCACCGATATATCTGTTGCCTTTTGAACCACAATAAAGAAGTTGACCCTCGTCCGGTGTGCGCAAGCATAGAAGAAGACTTATATATGCCGGGGTCCATAGGATAATGAGAGCTCCTAAGACGATTGTAAGCATGCTGACAAGACGCCGTCTAGCAATCACAAGATCATAGGCTGCTGCCCTTGCGTGTTGCAGGTTCAGGGCTTTAGCTTGTCTTCTGAGACTGATTTGAATCTTGTAGTAGGCCAGACTCATCAGTGTTAGGGGCAGTATTAGGCCTAAAGTATATAGGACGTGAAAAATGCTAGCGTGTTCACAAAAAAACAGTTCATGGCCGATGAGAGTGTTTGGATTCCGAGCACGCCTGATCAGGATCGTCGCTGGCTTCGGTTTTAAAGAGTACAGGTACTGAAAATACAAATGACATCACCCACATCACCAGGGCAATCAAAATGTTAATCCGTGTTGCTGTGAGTTTCCTTGCAAAATGTAGCGGATGCAAAATAGCAACATACCTTTCCAATGTCACCACACAGAGATTGTAGGCCGAAGCATGGCACACGGCCCATGTTAAAAAGCCGGATGCTTCAAATCTGCTGAAAAGTAATTTGCCAACATTGCTGGCCGGAACATAATTGATGAGTTTACAGTCGGACAAAGCAGTCAAATGAAAGAAAAATACATGAAGACTGAGAAGCATGTCAGCTACAGCCAAATTAACCAGCAGATAGTTCGTCATGTTGTGTAGGAACTTGACGCGCAGTATGACGTAGCACACTAAGAGGTTTCCTAAGACACCGACAACTCCCTCTGCTGCCATGATTTGACAGACCCACCTGCCAGTTGTAGTCTCCTGACTGTCAACAGGTTCCTGGGTTGAATTCATGGTTGACCTCTTTCACGTATGTTTTTAATCTTCGAACTGTTTTCATATCAACAATTGATTGTCAAAATTGTGGATGGACGTTGGCACAAAGGTTGAACTGTATAATATTGAAAATCAGTCAGGAAACTCAAATTAAAACAGTTCTTAATTAAGGCATCAAATTGAAAATATCAAATTAGCCGGTTATCAGAAAACTAAACATCCCTCGAGCACTGTGATTGCTGTCCCGTTAGCAAGCATGTACATTATTGTATGCTGACTGTAGGCCACTGACGCTAAGTGGCGCATCCTTGGCGCTTTATATTAAGGATCGGGTGATTTTAAGCGAATGATTGAAAGCTTTGATCAACCAGAAGTTAATGAGTGGGGGACAACGAAGGCAATAATGTACTGGCTGTCACTTACCAAAATGCAATACCGCCTTTCGATGATAGTGTAAACAGTAATTATGCCTTTAGGCCTAATCATCAATCACAGTATTTTTTTCTTCCGTTATCAGCATGCGTCATTTTGCGGCCAGGACGAGTTTATACAATCCCAATATGTATAACGCATGCGTATGTTCTTTGAAGTGACCTCCTCCTCTGAAGTTAAGATGCTATTCACTTTGTCTGCTGTTGATGGTCAAAGTAAAACGGTTGGTCACTCTTCGACAGTTGTACCTAACTGAATGATGATTGGGGCCTGCTGCTGACTGCTCTACTTGCTAGTCTACTACCATTCCAGAAATCTTTAGCCACATACTTCAAATGTCATATTGGTACCATCGCAACGTCCATAACTCTGTTACCACCCTGCCTTTTGAAGCAGCTGCAGAAAGCTATCTTAAAACCTTGCCTGAATTTCTTGTATTTAAACTCATAGATGATGGGATTGATGACTGAATTGAAATTAAACAGTAAAACAGATATTAATCTGGTATAGCGGTAGCTCTGTGTTCCACAGAAGGAGAACACACCCTGCTCTGTTCGATGCAAGCAGGGAAGGGTAGCTAAATAACACAGTGTCCATAAGACAATGAGAGCTCCCAAGACAGTTTTAAGCATGCTGACCAGGTTCTGTCTAGCGATCACAAGATCATAGGCTGCTGCCCTTGCATGTTGCATGTTCAGGGCCTTTGCTTGTCTCTTGAGAGTGACCTGCATCTTATAATAGGCCAAACTCATTAATGTTAGAGGCAGCAAATATGCAAAGAAAACTGAAAATAAGCTGACCAGAATCGGGAAAGCAGGATGTGGATAACTTACTGCTGAGCAAACCTTGCTGGAGTCATCACTGGATTGGATTGTAAAAAGAAAAGGTACGGACAATAACAGCGATATCACCCAAACCATAACAACTAAAGTAACCATCCTTGCTGTTGTGAGTTTCCTCGCATAGTGTAGAGGGTGTACTATGGCAATGTACCTCTCTAATGTAACCAAACAGAGATTGTAGGCAGAGGTAAAGGCCAATGCCCATGCTAAAAATTTTGAGGCTACAAGTCGGCAGAACAAGTCCCTCACGCCGATGTTTACGGGAGCAAACGCGATAAGCGTACAGGCTGGCGTAACGAGATAGAAACATACTGCTTGAAGACACAGCAGCATATCAGCAACAGCCAAATTCACCAGCAGGTAGTTCGTCATGTTGTGTAAGAATTTGACACGCAAGATGACGTAGCACACCAAGAGGTTCCCTAAGACACCAATAACTCCCTCTGCTGCCATGAACTGACAAATCCCTTTAAATCCAGTCAGTTCCTTATTGTCGTTTTGTTCGTAAGGTCCATCCATGGCTAATCGTTTTTGTTGGTACCCACCGCTGACGGTTTTAGTATGGTGTTCTGATAATGATGTTAACTATTAGAGAGATTCATTTGTTGTTCACATTCATGTGATAGAAAATGTTATCAATCCAAGTATTTACGTAAAACGTAAAGGTTTGCAGCGTGGACAGTCAAAAGATGTGAGGTTTGTGGCAGCACTATGTAGTATATTCTCTGTTAGACTTATGCTTGGTTCCGCTGACATCATTGAAAAGAATCAGTTTGGTAACTCAACGTTTCGGACAGTATTGTCTGACCGTCTTCAGGAGACTACCGGTTTGCTGGGGATACTGAGCTTAAGAGGGGTGACCAACTGTGCATTCGATGAAGCGTGTCAGTTGAGTGGACGAACAGGTGTAGGAAGGAATGGTGGACGGGTGCCAAGGTATAGGATATCCCTGGATGTACCGATGGCCCTAAGAGAGGTTGGCCTACTTGGTGAGTAGTGGGTGTCAGATGTTGATGGCGATATAGCTGACGTCTGGAGGAACTGTACTGGGCTTGTAATTCTGGATGCTATCTCGGTGAAGACGGGGTGTCCCTGGTCGATGCTGGCGATCAGGCTTGGTCGGTTAAATTGTTAAGTTGAGTTGATGTGATCTTCACTGTGCGAACGTTTGGTGATGGGCGATTCTCGCAGTCTTCGTGTTGGCCACGTACATTGCGTTCCTTGCTTGGTTCAGGTCTTCTTCCGTCCCGCCATAATAGACTTAACCGCATTCGCACGGAATTATGTCAATTGCAGCTTTTTGTCCTTGGGATTTGTTTGTCTTTTTGCGTCAGTATTTTTTTATCAACAGTTTTCAACCACCACTCCTCACTAACGAAGAAATGCTAAGGACGGTATCCATTGCATCGTTAAAGAGTTGATTTCCATTCAAATACAGATATTGTTTGATATCAGTTTTTTTTTAATCAGATAGATCTCTCACCGATACCACTGAAAGTATGTTGATCGAGTATTTCGAATGTTGTGCTTGTAGCAAACATATAGCTGGTCATATATATACTGATGCTATATACATATAGCTGGTCATATATATACTGATGCTCAGTGGCGTAAGCTGCACTGCGTCGGCGCTTTATATAAAGGATAATGATGGTTTTAAGCGGATGATTGGAAGATTCAGGAAATGAGAAGTTGATGAAAGAATTAAGGCAACAATGTACATGTCAGACTGTCATTTATAGAGAGCTGCAAGACCGACTTCTTCGATATATTGAGTAAAGATATTGGTGCCGTTAATCATCCATCTCAGTATTTTTCCCGCCGTTAATTAACAGCACGTCACTAGTTATTATACGGAGGCGGATAAAGTCTCTAGATGGCCTTTACAAGCAAACGCCTACGCGCACGGGGATTGTTCTAATTAAGTTGGACCTTCTCAGTGATAGTAGGGAAATTGTGTGCCGCAGCACTATGATTGGGGTCATTTAGGTGTAACTATACCATTACAGAAATATTAAGTATGTTTAGGCTTATTGCCTGCAAACATATATGTCCATCTCAACGTCAACTCTGTTACCGCCATGCTTTTTAGAACAGCTGCAGAAAGCTACCTTAAGACCTTGCCTGAATTTCTTGTATTTAAACTCATAGATGATTGGATTGATGACTGAATTAAAATTAAATAGTAAATTACAAACTACTTTGGTATAGCGGTAGCCCTTTGATCCACAGAACAAGAACAGACCCTTCTCAGTTAGATTTATACAAGGAAGGGTAGCTAAATAACTCAGTGTCCACAGTATAATGAGAGCTCCTAAGACAGTTTTAAGCATGCTGACCAGATTCTGTCTAGCAATCAAAAGATCATAGGCAGCTGCCCTTGCATGTTGCAGGTTCAATGCTTTTGCTTGTCTCTTCAGAGTGACCTGCATTTTGTAGTAGGCCAAACTCATTAATGTTAGGGGCAGCAAATATCCAAAGAAAAAAGAAAATATGCTGACTAGAATTGGGAAAGCGGGGTGTGGGTGATTCGCTTCTGAGCAAATCTCGTTGACGTCATCACTGGGTTCGATTGTAAACAGAAATGGTACAGGCAATACAAATGATATCATCCAAATCATAACAATTAAAGTTATCATCCGTGCTGTTGTGAGTTTCCTCGCATAGTGTAGAGGGTGAACTATGGCAATATACCTCTCTAATGTAACCACACAGAGATTGTAGGCAGAGGCATAGCACATTGCCCATGCTAAAAACCTTGAGCGTATGAGTCGGCAGAACAATTCTCTCAGGCCAACGTCTACTGGAGCAAACGCGATGAGTTCACATTCTGATGCAGAAAGATAAAATAAGAACACTTGCAGACACAGCAGCATATCTGCAACAGCCAAATTCACCAGCAGGTAGTTGGTCATGTTGTGTAGGAACTTGACCCGCAGGATGACGAAGCACACTAAAAGGTTCCCTACGACACCAATAACTGCTTCTGTTGCCATGATATGACATATCCACGTGTCGTCAGTTACTTTCTCATTGTCATCGGGTTCATAAGTTGCATTCATGGCTAGTTCTTTTGTTGATACACTTTGCAACCTACAGCTAATGTTTTTGGTGCTCTGACAATGACGTCAACTCTCTTTTGAAAGACACATTATTTTGCATGACAATAAAACTGGAGAGATGTATTTCTGGTCACCGTCAAAAGTGACAGAAAAGCTGTTTAAAGTTTGAATGATAGAAAGTGAAAAAAATGTGAGGTTTGCAGTAGCATGAGCCAAATCTCGCTTGCGGCTATGGAGCTGGTTTGGTACCTAGACGTTTCAGACAGTTTGCCCTGTATGTCTTAATGCAGGCGACTGCCGGACTGTTGGGGGTGCTGGGGCTTAACAGGAATCACTGGTGGTCGCTAGGGCGTAATGATAAGATGTACGGTGTGGCGGATCCGTGGTGATCACGGACGTGTGCGGGTAGCACAGGTGTCGGATGGACACCTGTGCGTTAAATCGCTGTAGCGTGTCAGTTGAGTGGAGGTACAGATGCAGGCAGGAATGAGAGATAAGTGTCTAACGTGCAGAAGACCCATAGGCGTACTAAGAGGACCATGGACCTAATCCCAACAGACCATGGGCCTATGGTTAGGCTGCTCGTTGAGTTGTGGGTAGCTCATCATGTCGTTGATGATATAGGCCTAGCTGATACATTGTGGAACTGTGTTGCGGTAGTAAATCTCGATTGCCTCGGAAAAGGCGGGTCGCCAATGCTCTATGCCGGTGGTGGTTTGGTTGTTCCCAGTTAATGATGGGGTTGTTTACTGTGCGACGATTGATAGTCGAGGTTTTTCCTTCAGTCCATGTTTGCCCGTGTTGGCCCCGTGCTTTGTGTTCCTTGGTTCTGGTGGTGATGTCTCTTTCTGTCCCACCAATGTAAACTTTGCTTATTCAAACGGAACTCTGTTAATTGCAGGTTTTGTCATGGATCAGGCTTGTCTTGTACGTCAGTGTTTTAATTCAATAGTTTTCACTCACCATTCCTCCTTCACGAAGGGATGTGGATGAAGGTAGAATTGTTCCGACGGTAGGAGTTTGTAGCTAGTTTGTTCTGTCATCACGCTTTTGGACGCGTCGCTGGTGCATGTGCATTTTGAAGATACCTAAACATAATATGTGCAACCACACCTTGTTCAAAATAGCACAGCTCTTCAAAGTCCGTGAATCACAAACAAGTGGTTATGACCCACATCAAAGTCCATGTGATCAATTTTGAGTCAGAGTGTTTTCGAGCGGCTGTTGAAGGGAAAACATCTATAGTGGTAGTTTGTCAATGCATTCATCAGCCAGCAATTATGCTAATGTCTTTCAGGACGATAAGGCTGTATTCGTCAACATTCGCTACAGTGCTCAATTTTATTCTGCTCTTGTTAGTTCACTGCATGCAACTCGTGCTCCGTGGAGCACCCATCAAGTGCTGCGACACTTTTATTGGTTGTGGAGAGAATTTTGTGATGGTAAATTATTATCTAACACGACTCAGAGCTTTTAATTAAAGATGTCAAGAGACGATGAATGTTGACTGTCACTTAATTGGATGTAGTACTGTCCGTCTTCTCTGTTATTACATTATATAAAACCTTTGGTACTTTCACTTGACCATTTTGACGGCTTCGTATAAATTCGACGATGTGAATATATTAACTTTCCGACATAAATCTAATGTGGTGTAACAATATTCAAGGCGATTTTATTTTAGGTTGGTATAACATTAACGCTTTTGTTTTTTTGTATTGGTTTTTTTAATTTTTATTTGCGGCGCTCTACAATAATTTTATTCACGTACGTACACACTTATACATACGCTCTACCGAGCAATCAACATTAATAGAGATATTTAAATAGAGGCATATTTATTGGAAATGTTTCACGTGACTTGTTCTTATGTTTTTATGTGCGATGGAGATTTGCTAAATGCTATGTAGCAGATCGAGTGTGTTATGCTTGGACTTGAATATACCATAATATGTTAAGTTGGAAAACCTCTTCTATTTTCGTTTTCCTTTTCGGTGTTTTGCAACGAAGAGTACAAGAATTCACACTTGGGCTCACAATACAATCCTATAATTCGGGCGATTCACGATGCAATGCGCCACCAAGAGTTTCCCATGCAAAGTCCGTTTTTCAAATTTACGGTCGACAATAAAGCACGGCCCATTTGAATGAGTGTCAGTAGGATTTCAGCTAACTTTGTTATAAATTGGGGCACAGTCTTTTGCCGCCTTACTAAAAACAGTGAGTAAATGAAAAGAAACGGGCAAATAGATACTCGAATTATACGCTGACGAACCAACTGACCGGAAAAACTAACGAATTCAAATCTCCCGCGCTGCGAATTTGTCGATCATCTCCCACAATGCAATGGGAAAAATGAACTCTCTGTGGCAAACTCTTGGTGGCGCACTGCACTGTGCAACGCCCGAATTTGCATTCCTTGTTCATTATTTGTTTCGTTTACCTCGAGATTATTTCAGATTTAATTTTAATGAGTGACTTATAAAAAACGAACTTGAGTGAAAGAAAAGCAGTAATTTCCCTGGTAAGTTGCCTGTCATCCCCTAAATTAACCGACGGACATCAGTGACGGGGAGAATACAGATTAATGACAAGTGGGGCCTACGTGTCTCTTACTCAATTTATCCACGGACTATTTATCAAAAAAGGCGGTATATTACCCCTCTAAATTACGACCAGATCTGAACATAATTGCCTTCTTTGCCGCACTCATCAATCATTCATTTATCTAGCATTTGACAATCGACTGCAAAAAAAATCATGTGATCCAGAATAACATGACGCTGAATGTTGAAGGATACTGTGCGCTAGTGAGCAGCCGCCAAGTGGCTTTCAGTAAGCATACAGCGTGCATGATAAGCTACAAGCTTGCTACAAAAGCACAGCACTTCTAGTTCTCGATGGATGCTCTCCTTTCTTAAAGATAATTTCATTGCAGCTTACTTTCTGTGGTGAAAGACAAACACTGACTTCTTTATTGCTGTCATGTGCATTTCTTGGTACGTGTAATCCACAGCTGATTTCAACCGGCCCCTTAGGCAGGCTTTTCGCTAGGAATCCTTTAACCACACTGCCGCCCTCAAATGCCCAACAGATTTTGACGATCTAAGGATTAGGCCCTATAAGTTAACAAAATTTGTCAATGGCAAACAATTTGCTGCAAATTTCAACTATGAATTCAACCCTGGGACCTGTTGACAGCCCGGAGACTACTACCGGCAAGTGGGTCTGTCAGATCATGGCAGCAGAGGGAGTTATCGGTGTCTTAGGAAACCTCTTAGTGTGCTACGTCATCCTGCGCGTCAAGTTCCTACACAACATGACGAACTATCTGCTGGTCAATTTAGCCGTGGCTGACATGCTGTTGTGTCTGGCAGTATTTTTCAGCAGTTTGACCGCTGTCCCTGATTGTATATTCATTGATTATGTGCCGGCCAGTTTTGGCGGCAAAATGCTATTTTGCAGATTGGTAGCGTCCGGTTTTTTAACATGGGCCTTGAGCTATGTTTCGGCTTACAATCTCTGTGTGGTAACATTAGAAAGGTATGTTGCTATTTTGCATCCGCTACATTATGCAAGGAAACTCACAGCAACACGGATGAAAATCCTGATAGCCCTGATGTGGGTGACGTCATTTGTTTTTTCGGTACCAGTACTCTTTAGCATCGAACCCAGCGACGATCCCGATCGGGCTTGCTCGGCATCCAAACATTCTCATTGGTCACTTTCTGTGCAGTTTACAAAAACGTTTGCATTTCTCACGGCCTACTTACTGCCCCTAACACTGATGAGTCTGGCCTACTACAAGATTCAAGTCACTCTCAAAAGACAAGCTAAAGCCCTGAACCTGCAACACGCAAGGGCAGCAGCCTATGATCTTGTGATAGCTAGACGGCGTCTTGTCAGCATGCTTACAATCGTCTTAGGAGCTCTCATTATCCTATGGACACCGGGATATATACATGTTCTTCTTTGCTTGGGCACAGCGGACGAGAGCCAACTTAGTTTCTGTGGTACAACGAGTAGCAAGTACGTCGCTTCGATGTCTGCCTTTGCCTTCTATTTCAACTCCGTCATTAACCCCATCATCTACGAGTTCAAGTACAAGAAATTCAAGCAAGGTCTTAAGGCGGCTGTTTGCTGCTGTTTTTCTAGGCACGGCAATAACAGAGTTGACGTTTAGATGGTGCCACTGTGAGAGTTGAGTGGAATGTAAGTTGTTTCATTTCATTTCAGTTCTTGATGTCGTGCCCACTTAAGCCTTTACCCTCTGCTAAGAGCTTGGTGCTGAATTTAGGTGGCTCTCCTTATGACAAAATCGAACCCATTTTACATTGACCTTTAACAATAGACAAATAAGCCTCAGTACTAATGACGTCACACTTTGTTTACGTGTGTACTTTCCTACGGTGCTCTGCAATGGACCGTGAGCCCCCACTGGCTCCATAGGAAAGCACACACGTAAACACAGTGTGACGTCATAACTTCAGAGGAGGAAGTCACTTAACACAATACTACGCGTGCGTTGTGCATATTGGGATCGGCAGCTCGTCCTGAATCTGATTTCATTTAATAACGGAAGAAAAAAAATACTGTCATTCATAATTAAAGGCATTATTTACTCATTTTATCAAAGAAAGCGATACTGCAGTTTTCTAAGTGACAGTCAGACATGTACATTATTGCCTTCGTTTCTTGCCAAACATCAACTCCTGATTTATCAAAGCTTTCAATTATCTGCTAAAAACCACCCGATCCCTATTATCAAGCGCCGACTCAGTGCAGGATCGGCACTGAACGTAGGTGGCCTGCAGTGAGCATACAATAATGTGTGCATCCGCAATTGGGCGACACACCTTATTCAGGCGACATATACATGTCGCTCTTTTGTGAAAACGACCCTTAGGACAAGGTATTTTTAATGTCACAGACCACCTAGATCGATTCTTTGTGATCGAATTAGTAAAAAATACCGAATTCCCAGTATTTCTTTTGGATGTACTGACCATCTGGGGGATGATTGCGCTCTGTGAGTGCTTTCTAATTAACATGTTTCATATATATTTTAATGTTAAATTAAATTGTAATTTAATTATGTTATAGCTTCGGTTTGTGGTAAAAACATGTGGTTATGTCAGTTTCGCTCAGTAGATTAAGTTGTTCTACTAGTTAAAAAGGGACTTGTCCTGCTTATTATCTACTTTTTACTAAGTAAATTGAAAGGCGATGAGACTTAATTTTAATCGTATTTGCTTTATCTTTAGCTTTGTAATGATTTTCACTGAATTTCACTTTTTCGCTTTTAATTTTTTTTTTACGCTCATGTCTAATCTTGACCTAATACTTTCAGTTGTATTATTATTTTTTTCTGTTATTTAAGATAAAGGACAATTATTCATTGACAGTTACAGAGAATGGATAAACAACTGAATAATCAAAACGATTGCCAGAAACTTACCCATCAGTCTTCTCAGATGATATTCCAATGTCTTATTTGATCCAAACGAAAGAATTCCCAGTGGTGAGTTAGATATTTCGATGTGTACTCCAAACAAATATCATGGTCAGCGGTCTTCATTTGAGAGGACAATGAAAATGGTTCCACAAAATGAGCTGCTCACCACTCTTCCTTGTGGTTGGTCTTAAAAATCCTCAATCCCGTACGCTCGCATCGATACTATTTTAATAGTGTTTTTAATTCAATACATTTGCGTAGCTGTAACGTATAACTCCATTTGGATTCGAGAGGTAACAGAGATGATGTATACGCACTACAACCCACCAATGGCGTCTGCATGCATGTATGACTCTTACGTACAGCATTTCTAGGTTAAATGTACTCTGCATCGTGATGAATGGAACACAAGTTATGCACCTATGCAGAGGATTAGCATAAGATCCAATAAAGGTATAAGCGCATAATTAAGGACCGGGAGTAAAGCTTTTACATAGCTAGCCAATGCTGAACAATGGATCGAATTCATCTCATAGCTCAAAGCATTAACAATAATCCACACTTTTTGTTCCCTTGTAAACAGGACAATAGTTGCGGGAGGGATGTAGTTTAGACAAATGTACATCTACTTCAAATAAATTATACAAAAAAATATAATACAATCGAATAGAATGTTTCATTTTAAAATAAAGATTTCAGGTTGAAAAAGTCAGGACAAGCTTAAGCTTCGAGTATATATTGTGATACTTTTATTATTCATCTTTTAATATAGAAAGTATTCTTATAGTTACAACACATCATAGAATTTTACGCATGCGATATAACAAATGTCAATAATATTGTATTTCATTTACATAAACCTCGACAAAATTACAAGGCTGCTCGGATAATTAACAATTGATGACGATCCAACTGGAATCGAATTTCTTAAAAACATTTTCTTCGCAGTCTGATATTCCTCTTTTTATGGATCACTTTTATGTACAAAAGTTAGCGATATGTGAGAAAACTATCGTCTTTCTATTCACAACAATTTAGTTTGTTTGTATATTTACAGTAATTATTTATGTATTCACGAGCCAATATTAACAGATATCATTGTAATAGGCTACAGTGTGTCCTTCTGGTTATTTAAAACTTGTACAATGTATAATGTTTTTGCTAAATATCACGGAATTTTACTGGGAGTACGAGCACAAATAATAAAGGCCCACTGTTAAAAGTCACGTTACTAATAGATCAAATTCCGTTAGAAAATGACCATGATAAAGCATAAAAAAGATGAAGGACCCTGCTGCAACCTTAAAATTCCGTGTTTGATACTTGGGATTTTAAAACAATGTACATATTCATTTTAACGTAATGATACGTAGGTGTGACCTTTAATATTCCTGAGTAGCTCAATGTCGGAATCCGAGACGACGGATTTCTGGTTAACGTAACAGGGATTTCCTTAATTAGCTGTTCTCAATTTCGATTGGTTCCGAATAAACAGATTCGAAACCAGCGCGTAGCTTCCAATGTGTTTATAGCGCGCAATGGTCTATGAGCCTCCGGATTTTTTTAAACATGGCGAGATGTGCTACAACAGTGCAATCCAGACATTCCAACGGGTCTTGGATTATTCCGCTATCTCACCCTCCTCAGCAGTCTCTCCGTACACGGCATTCTGGACGATATCTGCCGTACTGCTGGACGAGTCCAGCCGCCTATAAAGCTCCTTTTCACCCTTCTCGTCAAGGCTCACCTCGACTTCTCCCGGATCTGCCATCGCCTTTTCATCGTCACTTTCGTCACCGTCGTGGGCCGACCTGTAGAAGATGAGGGACAGCGTGAAAAAGAGGAGACTGACCGCTTTGAAACCCACGCCGATGGCCAGGAGCTTCCAGGCCAGCATCTGGCGGTCGTATAACCAACACGCACCTCGAGTGCCGCAGTCGTCCTGCCACAGGAGACAGCTGGAGTCTAGAACGCTGCCGAACAGTAGAGGGCCTGGTACTGAGCCTACCAACAAACAACGAAAAGCATCGTGTCAAGCATTGAAATGGTTTTGAACATTGTTTCTGTATCTACATCTGAAGAATAAGGTTGATGAAACATCCGAAGGGAGATATCACGTCGACTATAGCCCTTTACACAAGATTCGATTTATAACAGATGAATGAGAAGATTTGAAGACTCACCTAAAACACGAGCAAAGAGCCATTGTACTCCCAGGGCAAAGGACCGTTGCGTTTCAGGAACGCATCTAAGATAAATAAGAGAATCGAATCGAATTAACACACAAGTGCACTCGTTAAATCAGAACAGGGTATGTCTTGGTTTTGTCTCCCTTTTCGGCTTCATAAGTTTAGTCCGCCGACGTCACTTGACGGACTCCAGTACAATAGTGATCCATTTCCTGCTATATAAGAGGCACAACTTGTTGGTCATAAGAGGCCCATTGTTAGTGTACCGTCCTTAGGTTTGACCTAGCGGTAGCAATAGTGGGATTCTTGTCAAGATTGGGTCGGAGACAGATACTAAGCCGGAGATGACTCCAGGTTTCTCGTGAACAACGTAAGAATCGATTGAAGTAACGGACGCTCTTCTATGAGCAAACTATGCAATTTACCTTAAACACGTGTTCGTCGCAGGTATCCCTGGCATGAAGTTGAAGAACATTGTGATGAAATATCCGACCAGGAAGAGCGGCAAGACGACGCCGCAGTCCACGGGGCACTGTCCCGTGGTGACCTGGAGAGATGACTCGGTCCAGTTACCTATCCCCAAACAGCTGCATTCTGAAAACACCTGCAGTAAAGAGACAAAAAATATGGCCATAGTTGTAGTAAGGATGTAGCAGACCATAGTATAGGATATCCTTTCCTCAATATTGTCAGTGTTCTCTTGTCTCTGTATTAATGTATCCATCTTCCCTGTTGTCCTCCAGCGTGCTCGTCATTTCCTTTCTTCTCTTCCTCTTCTTCTTTCACTTTTTCCCATGTTGCCGATGATGTACTTGTGTTGAATCACAAGTCATCCCAAATCTATCAGAAGTCCGTAAGAAGTCCGTCAAAAGTCCATCCCACGCCCATCACAAGTCATCACAAGTCCATCACTTTCTGTCACAAGTCCATCACAAGTCATCTAGACCCAGGTCACGCCCTCTTCCGGTTAAATGAACCGTGACGTGAGTTACAGATCAACAATATGACCTATTGAATTAATGTTGACACTCACCCCATCTTCCGAGAATGACTTGCAGCCGGCGTGGCAAGGGTCGAAGTACTGCAGGTTGTTGTCTCCGCACACTGGATTGTAGTCTGCCGTTTCGTCGCATCCACAGTCGGCGTTGCATGGAGATTGGAACGTTTCCTGGACGGCAGATCTGTACGAACACCGACAAAAAGAATTGCATTAATTTCCGAAGACGTTTGAAGATCCGTGTCAGTGTTTCTATAACAGAAACCAGTGTTAAATGTCGGTTCGGTTTTGCTACAATACAAGTGACCAGAAGAAATAATATACGGCGAAAACAATGCACATACAGATACAACATTCAACTATTTATAGCACAAGTAGCATATAGTGGTTCAACAGCAGTCAGTTTGAAAACTCTAAGGGGAGGTTCTGGTTAATTATATAAACTTACTCATTTGCATAATAATTGGTGTTGATCCCGGCGACTATTTCCTGTGGACAGGTCAGCAATAAGACAAATGCAAACACGATGACTATGACGACGCTGACAATGCTTAGTCGCAGCATTCCCCGTATTTTCAGATCGAATCGCTTGATCAACCACCCGCCGAGAAATGTAGATCCAACAGCCGCCGGCACAGCGAAAATACCTACGAACGCAAAACAGTCGTCGTGTAGTCAGCACGATTACATAATTGGCATATAAGGTACGAATTATATATAAACAAGCAAGACACTGAATGAGAAATGTAATCAATAGCAAATTTTTATCCACGATACCGTAGCGGTGCATCCTTGCCCTCCCTTAATTTCACTTCCTTGGCCTGGCTCCGAATCCTGCCAAGGCCGACATTATTTTGGATGGCGTGTCCAGCAAGGGCACTTATCATAACATGTCAATGGCACACATTACAGGTCTGCAACCTTACCGACAATGGCAGCGGACACACCGGGCGCCAGGCCATACTGAATGCCGAGAATCTTGGGCGAGAAGGTAGCGAAGCCGCTGATGACCAGACTCTCAGCGCTGGCCGCCAAGCTGACACAGACAAAGGTCGGGTTGATGAAGAGGAACTTGACTGCCTTCGGGATGTCGGCCAACTTGGCGCCAAAATTGGGCCGTGTGACTTCCTCCTCGTGACCGGCGATGTGTGCCTGGGACTCCTTCTCAGCTCGGATTTTAGCGGTGGCTGGAACAGAAGACATTTTGTTTTGAACCATGTCTTAGTCCAAGACTGGACTTGGATTTTGTTTCCCTAATGCAACAAGACAAATTATATCCGGTATTGGGAGCTTTGGCACTCGAACCAGCATACGCGCGTGCGTTAGCATGGCTACAGATACTCAGCTGAAACTTACAGCCTTACTGGCCAAATTATGCCAGCGAGTACTTTTCCATTGTCTACGGACACTTCCAATGTTTGAGTTTGTCAGTGTCAGACAATTTCAAATTCAGTTCAAGCAAATTCAAACAATGTGAGCCAAACCTTGTTATTCAGAAATCAAATTCGTCTATAACTGATTTATATAAGGCAAATTCGATTTCTGAATGCTGCCATTCGGCAACAGCTGAGACGAATTTCATCTGTTATGACGATTATTCCCTGCCCGGTGACTGAAGAGGGTGACCAAACTTTGAAACTGATTGGTAAATGACAGGGGGAGTCAGGTTGGCGTAGCAGTACTTTTCTCGCCTTCCACCGCTGTTACCCAGGTTCGAATCCCGCCTGGGCCAACATGTGGATTGGGTTTTCAGTCCCTACCTGATTCTGTGGGTTTTCCCCAGAATATTCTTCTGGGGTTTTCCTCCCACCTCTAAAACTGTAACTGCTTCTCATTGTCTACTCTCTATAGGTTTCGTCAGGCTTTCGAGCTACAGTGCCTAGGGCACTTTTGAGGAATCCTTGGTTTCATTACCAGAAAGACATAAAATAAATAAAATAAAATAAAATAAAATAATTGGTTTTGTTCAAAGCGTATGAAACTTTTCTCGGATGAAATTGAATGTTAGAGTTGGTGAATTTGAATGAAAAATGTTTTAAAATTCCCGGTAAAATCTATATTATAATTCATTTAAAAATATTTGTATTGCTTACTGGGTAATTCTGTTGGGAAGCCGCTCATTGGGAGGGCGACGATGAAGGAGAGGATGGCACCGATGACGAAGCCGATCCACCAGGCGCCTACCCAGGCTGGGTCCGAGGATGTCACATTAACACTGCGTATAAAAAACACATAGAAAACCGAATTATGTACGCAGCAAATGAGGATTAGAGCGTACAACTTTCTCGAAAACTGCAAGGGATACTTTAACAACTAGAGCTAGCAAACGAAGTTCATTGGAGATGCACAACCAATGCAGGCTATTAGAACGTGTAGAGACAAAGCTTAAAGACAAAAGCATTAAAACACAAAAAAAGATCGTCAAAAACCATGCAAACCTGAGATGAAAAAGAAATATCATGTTAAAAATAAGTTTTGTCGAGAGCTCAAATAGCAGCCTTGGAGGCTATAACTGAACGTGCCAGACACACCCAAAAAAAAGGACCTTGAACAAAATGGTGTACGTACTTGTCAGCTTGTAGATCGGTGTAGATACCTAGGAACACGCCACCCGAGACGAGACCAAGAGCTGGACCGAGTGCGGAGAAACCGTAGAACCAAGCTGCCAAAACAACACAGATTATCATGATGCTGCTATAAAAAAAACTAAGGACTTAATAAGAGGATAAATTTGGATCAATTTCCAATTACCACACTGGAAACGAAAACTTGTTCAGCTGAAGAGATTTACAGGGCGTCTAAAAAAACCCGTCAACTTACCAAAGTCATGGGTTTGAGTTCGTCATCCTAACAAGATAAATTAGTCATCATGAAAAAAAATGCTGTCAGTCTGACGACTATTTTGCCATTACGAGTTAAATCTAGATTATGCAAATATTTCATACAGTACAAGTCTATGCAAATCTCTTCTATAAATCTACGACATGTGCATTGGTAGTATTAGCGGTAATTTTTACTTTGGCATTTTTTAAAAAGCTATGCAAACACTAGAATAAAGAACCTTACTTACCCAGATACAGCCCTGTCTGCTTTGTCGTCACGCTTTCGTCCAGCAAAGTGACACCGAGCGTGTACAGCGGAAGGGCGCCCACCCCATGAAACACCTGGGCCACCAGGAACACGTAGAAGTAATTGGAGAGACTGGACTCGCCACCCGTGTCCTCACTGCACTGTGGTTCCCCCGAGGTTCCATTCCTGCAGAGGATGGAGTCTGAGCCAACCACCGGCTGGTACAACTCCGTGGTGAAGTGAGGTAACGCGAATATGACCGAGCCAGTACCCATGATGACCAGTCCCCACGTCAGCCATTTTGGTTTGTGGCCACGCCCACCGATGTACGTCACGAATAGGACGAGGAGGGCGCATGTGATGTCGTACATGCTTACGATGAAGCCAGAAGCTTTACTGCTGAGTTCGAAGCGGCGCTCTATGGTGCCTATTCCAGTGTTGATGTAGCCATTGATGACCAGACCCTATAAGAAACAAATTAAATCCTCTTAAACATCCGACCTTTAATGGCATAAAGGTTCATTTGCACTTATGCATTTTGTTCGTTTGTTTCCAATAATAACACCACTCAAAACCCCTAAAAGAATATTCCAAAACCTAACCTGTTGACGTTTCAGCTCAGTGGATATTACACTTTTCGAGAAAAAGTGAAAAATCTTTCACAACAGTTTGATCACGAAACACGATTTTGTAAATATTACTCTTCATTTCGGAAATCACCTGCATTTCCTTATGTTGTATAGTATTTTGTTTATAGATGACAGCAGCCCTGACGGAATAATTTCACAGGGTGTTTAGTACCTAGTACAATCTTTGATTCAAGTAAGCTTTTTGATAATATTTTTGACAAACTAGCAGGGAACCAGGATCAAGATGTTTCGTGAGATGTTCTCATCATCATTTGACGAGAAACTTTTATTTATAGGTCAAGAGTTTACCAAAGTTCCTAGATCGCATTTTGATTACCTGTGCAGTGGAGAATCCGCACAGGATAGCTAGCAGCCACGAGGCCTTGTTGAACCTCTGCATCCATCGCGGAGCCCAGCCGCACCAACCGTAGCGATACTCGCTCCCCTCCGGGTCTCCCTCCGCCTTCTCCTGATCCGATGTTTCGCCGATGTCACATCCCTTCCCGTTGGCGTTCGGTTCCACCTGAATTTTCCCATTGCCGTTTTCGATCTGCATCCCTTCAGCGGCCGTGATAAGGCCATCATCGTTAGGAGGCATTGTGACTTGTAAACTAATTAATATTTTCGGTAGGCCTACTTCTGAATTGTGTCCTTGTACGCCACTATAACAAAAGAGTAACGGCAAATAGGAATCTGCAAGACTCCACAAGTACCAGTACGACTGCAAAACAACCCGAACTCATGAGGACTTATTAGTGGACAAGGATGGAGGCGTATCTCAGATATTACGTAATGAGTAAATAGCTCTAAGCCTAATGCTAACAGAAACAGAATGATTGCTTATTTGCTTTTATCACATGATCAAATCGTGCGTTGTTGGTTGACAATAGTTCACATTACAGACAATCTTTGCTTTTGAAAAGATGACCAAAAAGGGACCTGCCCAAAGCATCGTCTCGTTCTCGCTTACAACGGTGACACGGGCGTGAACACCAAAGTTACGATACAAAACGAATCCATGGCCTACAGCTAGAAACATCAAATCGTTTCGTCAAAAAATGTCATACTAGATGAAGAACACCAATTACTCATCAACCCTACTTTCACAGAGCATGGAGGTAGGAAACACATGAGATCGTTTGCAATTGAAACAATTTTGCAAATTATTGACATTAAATGACATAAACCTTAATACTCTAATTGAAGGTATATAGCACTGATATCAAATAACCTGTGACATTAATCTCCCACACTCGGAATGATATCGTTCGAAAGACAACTTACATTAAAAATACTTTCCAAATAGGATGCCTTTGGGCACACTCTTTGAGGTGCGTCAACAACAGAATCTATTTATGAAAACTTTTTTCCCCCTTTTTTCCCCCTCAAAAGTTAGTTTTTCCCCCTACTGAAGATGTGAGCAATGTTTTTGCTAATAAGCGAAAAAAGGCCCAAATGCACAAGCGGTTAACGATCCTACGTTACTTCGTTGCAATCTACGCCCCATCGTTGATAAATAACAAGCCCAGTGATATAACACTTATATATAAGGACTATAAGTTCGGTATCTCGTACCGTTCTGGCACTATCGCTAGTGTTTGCGTACTAATCAAGGACAGTAAATTGTGGCATTTGATTTTAGGTCAATATTGAAACAGGCAGTATAGTGATGGTTTCGGTAGTAGCTGTGGTGGTTTGTTGATACTGGTGGTAGTAGGTAGTAGGTGGGTGAATGGTGCAGTGGCGGGGGATGGGGGTGGTACACAGTGGCGTAACTACGGGAGGGGGCCGAAGGGGGGGGGGACGGCACGTGCCCCTATCAGCGGGGGGCCGTGCCCCCGGTCCCCCCCCCCCCCCATTTTCAATCTTGAATTGCACAAACACAACTAACCGGTTGCTTACAGTGCCCACTTAACCAATTGGTGCTCCCCAGGTCCCCAAGAAATATTAACCTAAATACGCCGATTGGATTACCACAGCCAGATGCTGGTTTTTTTCCCGACAGTAGAAAAGCCTAAAGTTAGGGCAATGTGCATGTTGTAAACATCATTATAATTATCGCACTTGTCCCCATGTTGTGGTTCATCACAAGTCAAATACAAGTTTGGTTGCAAGTAAATCACTAGTCAGTTCACACACATCTTATCAAGAGTAATGCCGATGAACGACAACAACGAACATTAAAACAATCTGACGGGCCTGAAACCCCCTGCAAACTCCCGGATCCGCCTCTGACGAAGATTTCTGTACGCTCCAGTTCATTTTGAATAGCTTTTGACATGGTTAGGGATTGGATGACTTGGAATGGTCTTGTATAAGGACTTGTGAAGGACTCGACTACAATACTGTTCTATTTTCGGGGGGGGGGGGACGGGGGTGTGGTTGAAATACACTGCCTGATACCACAATAATATTTTTAACTTTGATATGTTCCGCAAATAAAGAGTCCTTCTAAATCCCTTATCATGCTCGATAATCACCTCGCCTCATCAATGTTGGTTTAGTATTTGAGCTATCTTGTTTTTGTGCAAAGGTCACCCTGATCTTATTACAATCAGAAGAAGTTTGAGTTGTGTACAGACATGTTCCCATGGGAGCTTGATGGCCGTCATACCCATTTGTCTACCATAAGAAAACTCACATAGTATGTAAACAAACCATGACGTCATTGTTGAAGCCTATTGGAATGAGACAACCCCCGACGCCCCAAGAATAAACCACTTAAAATGACAGTCGAAAAACACATGTAACAAACCGACAAACAACATAACAAAATGGTAGGTTTTTCAAATAACTGTTATCACTGGCGTTGGAATTTATTTATCCATGGCATTTCCAAACTCTGTCGTCACAACGCAATACAAAATAGGTTTATTGCAATGACATTGGTCAAAATTAACCTCATGTTATTACAGCAAAATTAACCTCATGTTATTACAGCAACTCATTAGATTTAATAACGGGGCACTCACACTATGGTTGATCAACAAACTATGGTGATTCATGATTTATTGCACAATATTGCTAATTGGGCAGTCGGTGTCCCTTTAAACATTGCTGACAGGTGTTTAAGGCCACCCACGTGACAGGGTCTCGACCAATAGAAATGGATAAACTGCCGCATGTTTAATTGATTCAAACAAGATAATTATGGTACTTTTGTGTAACTTTTTTTTGAAAACCCTACAATATTATTTATTTGTATTTGTATCATCTTCTGTTACTGTTTACTAAAGACAAATCTAAACGAAAAACTGTTAGTGGTGATACTGCCGATCGAATTCTGAAACACCTCCAAAGCTGTTATTTGTACATCCGGCCTGCACGCACATTCACTTCGAAATTACACTCAAACGTACCGCGCAGGATCTTGAACGTTCCTGTTGAAAAATGATTAAATGTGAAATAAAAAGGAGATAAGGTTACACAAATTTGACATATTCTGGCTGCCTGACCAGAAGATCACTTAGGCGTAGGCCAGACGATCGATCCTTAAACAACGTCTGAGCAACTGTTTCATTCAGGCATTGAGTTATTTGTATACCTAAAAATCATGAATAATATCGAGGACAGGAACCAAATCGAGGACGACCTCGATTAGAAAACTCGTACAAAACCGATGAGAGCTGTTGCGAAAAAGTTAGAATACAAACAAAGTAAAAGGGGAGAGGAACACATGAAAATCATCGATTTACACAATAAACAAACGTTTATGTGGGTGTATGTTGGGGCTGGGAGGGGGCACGTCCCTCAACGAATTCCAAGTGCCCTTAGTTTCCCCCATCGGCTCGGGTTATTATCAGCATCTTAAACTATTTAACACCTCCGAAGTGCACCTGTTATTCCCTTAATATGAACTAAATATTCTACGTTACCTTTGTCGCCCCACTCAGAGTTCCAAGAGTTGACACACAGCCAATATTTCTGATTGTTCTCCACGCCCCATCCGATAACCTTGACCGCAAGATTGCCTAGAAGATTTTTTGACTTGTGGTGGTACACACCTTTTTGAGAAGGATAAAAAAGGAGTGTTATACACGGCCGTTTCAATCCCATAGACATAACGTAATTAACTTGAGCAATTTTGTCCGCACAGCGTTTGTTTACTCCAGTGTATCAAAGTGATGACGTCATGCAATTTTGGAAATTCAAGATGGCGTCCTAAATTTTCACGAAAACAGAACACGAAAAACATGCCCCAAACTTGCCCCTAAATCATGACTCACACAATGTCTTATGGTGCCATACTATAATTCTGACAGATAACGTGAGTTTCCACACATTGGGAGATTGAGCTGGCCCATAAAGTTCAAAATACCTGTAAAAATCAGGTTTGATTACGCTTCGTGCGTAAGGTTTTCTGTCGCTGTTTGTTTTGGAAGTTGTTAAAAATCCCCGACGAAAATCCCGTTTTATTATTGATACCAAGTTTTCCCCAAATATTTCTTGGTCACTTCTTGTAAATAAGGACCATCTTAAATGACTCATGAAGTTTCATTCGAAGGCCAGCGGTAGATTTTTTTTTAGAACCGTTAAAATACAGCCACTTTTCACGAACACCGTGCGGTATACACGCACATCACACGGCACAATAGCTGTAGGGCGTGAACGCATGCACACACCACCGGGGCACGCGCGGCGTTAACACGGCGTTGTCGCACTGCCCTACCCGCTGAACTGCAGCGCAGCGAAACCGTGCGCTGAGAGTCACAGGCCGGTGGTTTGTGGGGGAAATATTCAGCAGAACTCCGGCCAGATCATGCATGTTAAGAATACAAATAATTGTGTACGAACACCAATAATATTAGGCAGGATGAGCTTTCTACATCAGACTCCTGTAGGTCAGACGGCCTTATGATTATATGAACAAATGTAATGCTCCAAGTTTGCTTGAAATTGTTTAAAAATTTCATAAAAGAAACAATATCCTGCCCCTATTTGCACAGCAATATTCATGAAGTTAAACCACTACGGGTGCAACACTTATCACTTCAAACATTTTTCATTAACCCTAACTCCCTGGGTGGGGGGGGGGGGGGGGGGGGGGGGGGGAGCGTATTAAAATTCCAGGATTCAGGACTGTTCGGGCTATTAGGAAGACTCGAGCAAATGCAGTCCTGCATATGTCCACAAGTGCCCCAGATTAGCTTCATCCAAACCTCAAAAACTTCGAAAACCTCCCTGTCCAGTAGTGTTTTGCTTCGGGTCGGGTCCACTACAGGCCAAACCGATGCGAAACATTATAGATATAATCCAAATCCTGCGCTGTGTTAATTTCCAAACTGTTTCCATCTTTTTTCCCCGTTTATTTCGGGTTTTGAATTGACCCGATCCGACCCGATCCGCAAATTTTCAAACACAAAACTAACCAACCCAATTGAAATGACGGACAAACCGACCCGACCAAACACAAAGTTGGTTTTTGGTTGGGTCGGTTACAGTTTCGAGTCAGGTCAGCACAACAGTTCTGTCCAGAACCCTTCCAAGAAGCAAAAGTAACCAGCAAGGTTGCTGAAATCTATGGCCACATGACATCACACAGCATATATAGAGATTGCCGCATTCCCCCAGAGATAGTAGAGGCTGCAGCCAATCATTGCATGTGGCACAAGCAAAGGCAGACTCCAATTGAATATTAGATTTAAAAACTGGCAGGGTAATATTTATTTTTTACTTTATTTCATTATTTAAGTTGGCGGCCAATTTAGTGAAATCCTTTGGTCTCCCATTGGTCACAGTACACCTAAAAAAGCAATCCACATACAATGTACACGTAAAAGTCTCATCTGTTTTAAAGTATGGAAAAGAAGGCCAACTTAAAACTTGTTATTAGTAGCCTATTGACTTACTTTAAAAAAAGCGCCGATAAAAATATCTAATGTAATAATAGCATTTTAGTAGTGTCAACAATTAGTTGATTTTCAGTGAAAGTTAATATCCAGTTGTATTTCAATTCATAATTTTGGCACTTGGGAGTGTCGTTCGCAGTAGTCCTGGAGGAATTCCTACCAATGTATACAAATTAGCCTTTATGTAGCAATTCTGCCCTTATGTACAAAATCACAATGATAATGTAAGCATGGATCCAGCCCATTCAAAGTGGCAACAATGTTGTCATTAAGGCAGTTTCAGTAGAGACATGACCATTTTGCCTACTGTTTATGGTTCATGTACGAGTCAGTTTTGCGATGGCCATGCACGAGAAATCAGAATGTAAATATCATATTCCAAAAAACAAAATTGTACTGCACATGTGCAGAGGTGATCCAGTCAATGGCCATAAATGGGCATTAAAATGTAAACATGTCCGATATTATGGGAGCGAGAACCAGTCCATCGCGAGTGATCATTTGTGACGTGTGAATCCTGAGCTTAAATTCCAGAGTGATTCCTTGGCAAGTAGACAATAGAAGTTCTTAATGTGTCGGATCAAGGCGGTGCAGGGTTTGTTCAAATCTAGCAGTGCACATGGCATCACACAGTTTTGCACACATTCAGTTACCAAAAATACACCCAACACATGCTCATGTCTGTGTAATCCTGATCCTCCATGCACAAACGTGGGATGAAAGATTCACTTCCACTGTACGCTACGGCTCATCACGAGGAGTCAACGGCTCATCACACCACCATCTCACCAGAGCTCCAGAAGATACGAGAAACCCTCTTGTCAGAAGAATGATACTGCAAACTTCCTGAAAAATCATAACAAAATGCTTTTTTTCAGAAAACAGGATCACATGTACAATTGCTTTTATTAGGGGGTGGGGTGGGGGTGGGGCATGGGAGAAATGTAGCCATACATTCAAAGTTCTACATGTACCGCCAACACTAAAGCAGTGGTGCATGTCACATGTACATGATGTATCATGACACCATTACTTTATCGGGGGGGGGGGGGTGCACACTGCACAATAAGGCCTGTGCAAAGTCTAAAGTGGCTGGAAAATTTGGGAAGGTTGGTGATCTAGAAAAAAAAGATCCATTTGTATGGTACAGGATAACACAGAAACAAAACACCTCAATTTAGAATTGCCACTTTTTTCATGTCCCCATGAAGCTGAGGCACTAATGTGTTTACATGAAAATGGATTTGGCATTTGGCTAAGCATTACTGAATAAATATGCAAAGCCTGAAATAAATTCAACGTCAGACATGCCAGAATAAGTTCTGCGAACACGAAAGGTGGCATGTACAATTAAAAAAGATTTAGTCCGACATGTTAACTACTTTCATCCTGTTCATGTCAGAATCAAATTGTTATGAAAATGTTCATTTTTTTTGGGGGGGGGGCATTTTTCTCTCTCTGTTGTCATGACCTGTTCGTATTGTTTTTATTGATTTTATACTGAATCGTGCAAATAGCATTTTTTTTTACCTTCCAATTAAGGCCTAGTTGATCATGTTGATGTAATTTATGTATGGAAATCTTTCCCATGTATAACAAAGTTGTAGCACAATACACGACATGTCATGTCATGTACATGTGCATCACGCCAATGGAGGAACTTCGTCCACACATGCACGAACCTAGGTACGGGTTAGATCCGCACGCGTGCCCGTACAAATACATGAACACGCAAACGGTCGAGTTGTCTCTAAACCATCAAGCGCTTGGGCTATGCGTGATACACACGCGCGTACCATGTACGCTTTACAACCAACTCGACCGTTTGGCATTCCGCGCACACACGAAAATATGTCACTTTTTGCACCTAAATATCAACAAATCTACCGCTGGCCTTACCTTCAAACCGGACACATATGCAGCACGTATCTCCACAACAAAGTTGATGTGGGCCTTACATCGGGGAAAACCTCTTGTTTGGAGAAAAACACCTTTTAATGTGACAAATTTGTCACATGACCGCACACCGCGATAATCAGTTCGGTCGAACACTAGTTTTGACGGACGCCGTTTTCAGTAATTTAATATTCATGAGCTGATATTCATATATGGAAATAAGGGGAAAATAACAACCTTTTGAATAAGAAACATTTTGAACTTTGACCGATTAATCTACCAATGACATTCCAAATATTCCCAGATATAAATATTCATGATACGAAACTCGCTTGGCCCGACCCACGAAGAGTGTCGGTGACGTCATTTTACGGAGATTTTCGATTGGCGCGATTAGAACGACAGAGGGCGCCATTATTTTGCGCTGGAACAGCCGTGTATACCGGTTGAGGGCGCTATCAAATCCAGAGACATTGCATGTATGGGCTACGTGCAAAAGTACCCCCAATGGAAAGAATGGAAGAGTGTAGGGCTTTGTGCGTTTTGTGCACCACCGTGTGAAGTATGATTGAATTGAGATGACGGCTCCAATGGCTCCAATCACTGATCTCTATGCGGTTCGTTAGTGTGACGTCATCTGAACTTAACAATGCGTACTTCACACGGTGTATATAGCATAGCCAGATACATTTTATTCTATATCTATGAGCATAGCTGGAACCAGAAGCTAACGCACCTCCAGCGTTTATCCAATAGGCGCTGGTTATCAGTGATGCGCGCGTGTATGACGTATTTACTAACGAACCGGACAGAGATCATTGGTTCCAATGCTATGGCAAGTGGGCGTGGTTTGAACTGAACTGTCGTAACACTAACGAACCGGATACGGGCGCGAACCTGTACGCGCACGATGTGTACGCGCACGTTGTGTGTCCCGTCCGGATCTATAATTATCTCCTCATGCACAGGTATACACACTCAGGCTGGATTTAGTCAATTCATGGAGTAATCCTATACGATATCACTGCCCAGTTCGCAAGTGACAGTGAGTCGGCCAATGAGGTACAGAGAGGTAACTAGGCTGATGCTTGTTGGACCAGCATAAACGGCGATGTTTAAGATCACAGCAAGACACTTGTCAAGGCGTACCTGATCGGTAGGTGAGCAAATCTTCATAGAGGTCCATATCGACAGACGCGGGCCCATAGGTCATGATCTCATTCTGAATATCTGCCTCAGTATATCCAACATTATAATATAATGAACCTGCAGGATTCAGAAATAAAACAACAGACTTGAAACAACCTCGTTTCCTTGGGTACGATATTGCTGCGTCGTGTGGGTTCCCATCATGCCTTGCGCGATCTTAGTAAAAGAACGCGCATGCGCCCACGGAGTCCAAGCTGGACTTGAAAGTGTTACTCATGTGGAATACCAAATAAAATTATGGGGAGTTGTTACTATTAGAAATCACTGTGGAAAACGCAGGACAGGAGATAACCTTAAGGAAATAGACTTTTATAATGTTGCCATCATTTCAGTCACGTTCCCTGTATCCAATAACAGCACTGAATAATGTTATTTGTGCAAAAATGAACCAGACTATTTTCCTTCCAGCCTCGCTTTGGTTACGTTGATTAGTAATGGGAAAACAACAAAGAAGGCCGCAACATGAAAATGGTCTATTGGGCCTCGCGAGAATCTAGAAAACTTTCCACGTGACCTTTTACTTTTAGGCTTGATCAGCTCTATGGGCTTGATGCATATTATCAAAAATAGGGGGATTAGCGCCCCCTAGAGGTGGTAACAACGAATATACCTTTTCTCTTGTCGGCTTCGTATGGCACTGGGTAGCCGGCCACACACGTTTTGTTACATACTGTTGAATCGGGTTTAGCCTGGCACGGGCCGTAGGTACCCTTTTCGTAGTGGTCGCAGGGCTTGTAGGGGTACGGTCTGCATCCGTTAGGAGTCTGGTACCCGCCTCCACTCACCAGTCCCTGTTGGACCCAGTACATCCAAGCGAATAAAGTGAAGCCAGCAGCACAACTAACAGCAATAACATGAAACAGTGGTCGATGTTATATAGTGGAAAGCGTTGCAATGTAAGTTTCAGCACATTGCAGAATTAGCATACTGAGTTTGCCCCCAACTTGTGGGTATAAGATAAAGCATCCAATATTGGAAATAGGATTTTGATATATTTTTTAATGAAATTCGAACTAACATTGCCTTCAATTTACAAGGGATTGGAAGGATTGTTTGTCAAATGACAATCGGCAAAATTCACTCACAGGTCATTTTGATTACCCCAAAAGCATTAATTAAAATGTGGGGGACAAAAAGAAATCGATGGACAAAATTCAATGAGATGCATTGAAAACCTTTGGGACATGCGAGTGCATAATTCCCAATTGCTAGAAGTGAGGAAAACTAGTTCATTCCCTTGTTTGCACCCATTACGACATTAGCTTTTTGAGGTACAGAGGGCCAAACAGGTCTGGAGGGCGCTATTGGTATTGGTAAATACCAGAACCTAGTTTATTCAAATCAAAAAGCGCCCTCCTATTTCGTCTGCCATATCTCCAAATAGGCTAACACCTTCTGGTTTTCTGGTATGAACAATTTGGTTTCTCTTTTTACCCATTGTTGTCAAGAGCTTGGTTGGGGGGGTTGCAGGTCAGGGCGTCCTCAGCAGAGAAATTCCAATGTAAGCCTGGATACGTAATACAGTGTCGATCGTTCATTGCTCCCACAGCGGCCAAAGCCTATAGTATAAGAAACACAGTGGCATTGGTCATCACATGATTTTCTAGAGAGCGTGTCACCTCTGACGTCATACCAACTTGCAATCCTAACATATATAAGCATCTTTTACATGTTATTTTACCCGTTTTAAATTTATTGTTTGCTGTTTTAAGCAAGCAAACTGCAGTTCTGCAAGTAGATCTCAAATTGGTATAATGACAAAGTTTTCATACATCTATAGGCCATGTCACATTCAAAGGAAATGTTGCGGTACATGATCACGTGATGCCAATCTTCAATAGATTCTTCTTTTCTGCACTTTATCTCTTGAAATATGAGTGACTTAAAGAATTAACCCACTTGTATTTACTCGCTGATAAACCCATAACACAGCTCTGAGGCGGTTTGGGCTGTACCAAAGTGCCATACTTTAACGGCATACATGATCATTTGCTTTCCATGCCTTTTGTACTTGGTTATGGCACTTTCCTCACTTTGAGCAATGCGAATTTTTATTCCTACTAAATTTGGTATAGGCCCTACCCATGCTGCATTGCAGCGGCCTTGGTCATAGACGCGACCGATGGACGGACAGTTTGGCCATTTAGTACGAGCGTCGAACTCTGTAGGCGGTGCACCAGCTCTGTCGTGCGTGATTATGGGGGCTTTGGGGGCTTTCTCCCGTGACAATCCTGGTGTGCTGAGCCGATCCAGTACCGATGCAGCATTCTCACCGGCAAAGTTGGGGCCAGCCTAAGGGATGACATAAATAACAAGTTTTCAAATTATACCACAATACGATTGTTATAATAATTATGATTGCAGTAGGCTATAGTATAGTTATACATTAATATTAAATATTAAGGTTGCATTATAGCTACACTCACATCAACAGAGATAGCAATACTTTTAACACTTGTTGCAGTGGTTACACAGGAAGCAGTAAAAGTTACACTGGTTACATTGGTTACACAGGTTGCAGTAATAGTTACACAGGATGCCGTTATACTTATCCATGTTTAAACAATAGACCGCTTGCAGACGCGTTCGATAATCGACGCGCGAAGGCGCGCGACGCCATGTTGTGGGACAGGCGTATATCAATTCACGCACATTTTGTCCCATAACATGGCGTCGCTCACCTTAGCGCGTCAATTATCGAACGCGTCTGCAAGCGGTCTATAGTTGCAGAGGTTGTAGTAATAGTTACACAGGTTGTAGTACGATTTAAACCGGTTTTGCATGGAACATTGTAGTAAGTTATACAGGTAGCAGGTTGCTGTAACAGTTACAAAGGTGGAATAGTTAAACACGTGCTGGTTATTTGTTAATAGTAGGGTTTTACCTTCCAAGTTGTATTCATGGAATTGATTTTCTTCACGAGTTCCGCGGAATACACGACAAAGTTCTGCTCGAGCGACTTCACGGGAGAAGACGACACCGCGGCTAGCAAGCCGAGAAAGACTGCAAGCAGGAGCTTCATGCTGAAATCTGGGAGGTACAATAAAGCCCACTCAACAAGATCAGAATAATTAATACCGATTAGGTCTTCATCTGATTTAATATAACAAACGTCCTACACTGTAATACGCACTAATTTGGAATCTGGACCCTTCACCCAGCATGCCGGGTCAATCTGTGCTTGTTCACTTGACATTTATCACAAGCACCTATATCTAAACGTAGTCCTAACCTCAATCCTACCTGCGCTCATAATTATCCTCATCCATTGTTATCTAAGTGGCGTTTCTGATCACAAAAGGTCAACGAGTCCATATTTCAAATATGCCACCTTTCCACACCTACCAAATACCGACCCTGTGATAGTCTTGGCTCAAGACGCTAGTGATCGATAGTGGATCGCGCAAAGTGCGCCCTCTAACGGCACAACAATTAGACCAGCATGCCTACTCGAACTCAAGTCGTGGCCATTTCGTATCAGCGGTTTAACTTTATTTTCTCCCTAGTATTTCCTAGGTAACCAATAAAGCTATCGAGAAATGGTTCAATGGCTCGCCTGACGGTTGCAAACAAGGGCTAGTGTCATTTTTTTGGCAAATATGGCGTCCCCACTAGGCACCCATAAGAAACGCACTTGCAAACAAAACGTGACGTCATTGTTTCATGCCTACTGAGATGACAAAACTAGGAAATATGATGACAGCCACCACCCTGTCGCAGCCCCACCCTCTACAGCCCCACCCCACCACAGCCCCGCCCCACCACAGCCCCGCCCCATCACAGCCTCCCCCCCCAAAAAAAAATACACCTCAAACCACTGTCGAATTAACAACGTAACATACACATATGCAAAACGATAAACCTTTCACATAACTTTGATCAAACGTTAGAATGTATTTATCCATGACATTTCCCAAACTATGATGTTACAAGGAATACAAAATAGGTTTATCGCAAAGACATATGTTTCTTAGTAAAATGAAATAATATTATTGGAAATCATAAGTTTTCATAACGGAGCAATAAACTTTGGAAAAAAAAGGTGAAAAACAACAAAAATGTAATCAAATTAACAACTTAACAAACAATAGAGAAAAGGATAGGTTTTGCTAATACATGTATTAATTGCTTTATTTATCTCTGGCATTTTCAAAACTCTGTCGTTACAAGGCAATACAAATTGGGTTTTTTTTGCGCAGAGACACTTGTTAATAAATGACGCATTATAATAACAACTCAGTAGAGAAATGAAGGAGCAATAACACCATAGTTAATAAAGTATTCATTAGTTAAAATCAAAGAATACAGTCGAAACAAATTATTCGTGAAAAAAAAGGAACGGCATTTTCGATTTACAAAATATTTCGTTAGAGTATTGTCTTTTGATACATCCTTTAATATTGTATTTATGTTTGCCACTAAAACTAAATGGAAGCTGTTAAGCATATATCTTGCCGGCATGCACATTAGATTCCAAATTACACTCATCTGTCCCGCGAAGAATCTTGAACATTCCTGTTGAAAGAAAATAATCACATCAACAAATAATTAACGTGGAATAAAATGGAAACAAGTTACACGTACATATAATTTATTCAGTTAAAAATAAACAAATCAGGGAATGTTCTAATAAAGCATTTTATTGGATCATTTGGTAGCGCTCAGCAATTTCGCACAAATTATTAAACGCCATCAAAGGTACACTGAATAGCAAACAAAAAAGGTACAATTTTGACAAATATCAAAAACAAATCGAGTTGATTCGTTGTTTTTTTAAATTCTGGTTCCCTGCTGATGTTTGCATAAGGACATGAGATACATCATAGGCCAGGCAATCTCATTATGATGCAGTGGGAGGGGGAAGGGGTAGGTTCGAATTCGCAGGTGACGTCATACAAAGTATGACTTCACCAGTAACTGCGTATTATGACAACGAACGCCTTGAACGTTACCTTTGTCGCCCCACTCCGAGTTCCAGGAGTTAACGCACAGCCAATATTTCTGATTGTTCTCCACACCCCAACCTATGATCTTGACCGCAAGAAGGCCAATCGATTGATCAGTCTTATGCTGATACACACCTTTTGGTGCCGAGTAAAAACAAGTACAGACAATATTATAACGGTATTAATAATAACAACTTAAACAACAACATCAACTCACTCCTTGTATTAATGTCAGAGTCGTCATGACTCGAGTCGATGACTCGACTCGAGTCTGACTAGAATCACAATTGTTTTCCCAACGGGTAACTGACTGGAATCGAATCCCTTGTCAAAAGACTCGACTCTACCGGAGTCGAATGCTTAGTCCCAAAAAGTGCCTAGAGTCCCAAAACTGTGCAAAGCTATTTTTGGTGAATTACGGTACAAATGTATTAATGTTGGGATCGGTGTACTGAGCATTTCCACCAAGTTGTGGCCGCTTATCGTGTACAAATATTAAAGCTGCATCGCCGCCACATCGCTAATCTGTTATAGATTGGGACATATCATTCTGCCGCCTTGCAAAAACAAAGTATCATATTGATAAAAAGAAAAGAAATTTTTATACTCGAATCATACGATTACGAAACTACTTGAACGGAAAAACTAACAATTTCAAATGTCCCGCGCTGCGAATGTATGAATTATCTCCCACAATGCATTGGACAAAACAATGAACTCTCCGTGGCAAACTCTTGGTGGCGCAAAAGCGTACGTACCTGATCGGTAGGTCAGGAGATCTTGGTAGAGGGTCATATCGGCACTCACAGGGCCGTACTCCATGATGTCACTCTGAATACCCGTCTCTTGATATGGTGAATAAACGGTTGCACCTGCAGGATTCAGATAGAGGCCAACAGACAAGAGTTATGTTTGTGGACGAACACATGGCTGTTTCGGCATTATATTAGGCAAAAAAGTGGTCTCCGGTTTCTGGTATGGAGCTTGCCCAAAAAGTGGTGCAGCGACGCGGCCTTTTTTTTTAATTTTTTTTTTGCTTCAAATGTCGGCTTATGACTGCAAATATTATGGGAGACCAGAGAGACCACATAAAGCTTATTCTCGATCATGACCCCCATCTAAAAACAAGTTAAAATAATGTGCAGCAGCAGGATTCCAGTAAAACCAGTGAGTTTGGCGGTTTTGAGACATCATCTTTCATTGAAAAAAAAAACTTTTTCATTTTGCCGACGCGCATGGCTATGGCGACGCGCGCGGGTGCCAGCGAATATACCTTTTCTCTTGTCCCCTTCATATGGCACTGGGTAGCCGGCCACACAGGTTTTGTTACAGAATGTTAAATCAGGTCGAGCCTGGCACGGGCCGTAGGTACCCGTTTCGTAGTGGTCGCAGGGCTTGTAGGGGTACGGTCTGCATCCGTTAGGAGTCTGGTACCCGCCTCCGCTCACCAGTCCTTGGTCGACCCAGTACAGCCAAGAGAGTACACTGTAGCCACCTGCACAACTACCACCAAAATGAAGCCTTTCGTTATTATAGTATGACGCAATGCAAGTCTGAACACATTACAGAATTAGTATCCAAACACCAACACTGCTTCGAGGTTTGAATCGACTCTTTATGTATCGAGTCCCAAACAAAACAAAAAATTAATGCAAATGTACAATAAAAAATGCCTTTCTGTGTCTTGTTCCTTTCCTGTGGTTTTTGTCCAGACTTGTTTCGTACCTTGTGTGACGATGGGGGCGCTTTTCCCTATTGTTTTTGTTTTTGTTTTTTCCCCATCCATTTTTTTCATCAATCCCAATAGAGAGATGAGATTAGTAGTATGGATCGGACAACAGTCGTCTGCACTCCTCTTCGGGGTTAAATTCGGGCGATTTACAATGCACGGCACCACCAAGAGTTTGCCGTGGATAGTCCATTTTTTCAAGTTACGGTCGACAAACATTTGAATGAGTGTCAGTAAACAACTTGAGCTAATTTGGCATAGACTAATATTCTGTCGCCTTACAAATAGCATATCGAATTAAACGCTTACAAACCTACTGACCGGAAAAATGTACAATTCCATATGTCCCGCGCTGCGAATTTGTCGACGATTTCCCACAATGCACAGGGGAAAATTAACTCTCCGTGGCAAACTCTTGGTGGCGCACTGCATTGTGAAACGCCGAAATTGATAAAGTAATTAAAAAAACAACAACAGTGCACTAAGGTGGAGGAGGGGGTAGCATGTTCCCTTTACGCCCTCCTCCCACCACCCATCCGCCTTTGAAGGAAGGTCAGTCTACTTTTTGAGAAAACTAATCGACTCTCACCCATTGTTCAATACAGTCGGCGTGATGCAGGTCAGGGCGTCCTCAGCAGAGAAATTCCAGTGTAAGCCTGGATACGTGATACAGTGCCGATCTGTTATGGCACCCACAGCAGAGTGCGCCTGCGACAACAAAGCAACATTGATAATTACAGGTTGGATTGATTGGTTGATAGATGGATCATTGATGGATGGATCGATAGATCGAACGATCGATGATATAAAAAGGAAGTACCTCTTTAGCTTTTTTATTCAAATAGATTTTATCAAAACTTTGTGATCAGTTAGCTTAAAAATATCCGCTTTTATCAGAGTGGATTGTGTGTTGTGATGTTGTAACGTATTGACTCTGATAGCATGATCTTAGCGATGGGCGGTTTTGAGCAGAGTACGAAATATTATATAAAATAGTGGCAGACATTTTTGAGGGAATCCTTTTCACTCTTATGTGAACGGGCTACCCTGATAAAAAAAGGTCCGACTCTTGACAATATAACTTAATATGTTCAAGGTGCAATAAAGGAACATACAGACCAATACAAACTGCAAGTGAACGAAGTGCGACATTACTGATCCCTATTGGCTGATAATGTCGAATCACGTCAACTCAGCCAACACCTAGGAACCGTTTATTGCGCAGTACGTCACATCAACTTATGCATATGACGCTGAAATATGCATCGACCAAAAATGTAAATATGTACGTGTATAATTGGTGTTAAACAACAAACAAACATTTCATAGCCCTTACAAAGGCTGCACTGCAGCGGCCTTGGGAAGGGACGCGACCGATGGACGGGCAGTGTGGCCACTGAGTACGAGCGTCGAATTCTGCAGGCGGTGCACCAGCTCTACCGTGCGTGACTTGTAAGTGGGCTTTGGGGGCTTTCTCCAGTGACAACCCTGGTGTGCTGAGCCGATCCAGAACCGACGCAGCAGTCTCACCGGCAAAGTTGGGTCCAGCCTGTACAACAAAGAAAATGAGGTGTATAAGATGTTTTTCTAAATTGATTTCAGGTACAGCTAATTTGACTGAGGGTTAATAAATAGGAAACCCTCGTGCTAGTGACAAGTGAAATAGAATGGTAAATGTTTGAAATTGTCCTCTAAAAGCAAAAAAAAAGTCTTGTAAACGAATGTGAATGGACATAAACGAAAGGTGCTGCTCAATCACTTAATTATTGATTGAACAGAAATGAAATCGAATGCTATGGTAGCCAAAATGAAACGCGTGAAATGAAACGAATGACCGATTTTCAGATGTGAATGAATATTTTAGGAAATTGGCCGGGAAAACTTAGTAAGGTTTTACCTTCCATGTTGTATTCATGGAATTGATTTTCTTGACGAGGTCCGAGGAATACACGACAAAGTCTCGCTCGAGCGACTTCACTGGAGAAGACGACACCGCGGCCAGCAAGCCGAGAAAGACTGCAAGCAGGAGCTTCATGCTGAAATCTGGGAGAATATTAATGAAACTTAACAAGGGCAGATTTTTTTTCTGATAATGTCACTGGGTAGGAACTAACTTGCAATTGACAACACCAAACTTAACACCTCCACTAAGTATTGTTTTCATATACACGTATAGGCTAACTTCTTAACCTAAATTACCTTCATGAACCTAAATAAGAATCTTCGAAGATCAGCGTTTTATGGGCTTACATTGCATGCCCGCTCTCCCATGTCAATTTAGTGTTATTTTGACCGTAAAAAACGGGATTAATATCTTATCCAAAACAATAAGCTCACCTTTTCCGTTTCCCTTAAAATCACTTGTCAACTCAGAGTAATGCACAGAGCCTGCGTTGAGTTTGAGCAACTTGCCGTAATGGAGAGCTGAGTTCGCCGCAGTACGCCAACAGCACAGCCACAGACGGTACCTGGTTATATAGACTTCAAACCGACCCTCAACCCTCTTCACTTCAAACTTTAACGCAACTGACGCACTTAGGCCTAAACGTAGATATTAGATTTGATAGCAATCAGTCACAGACCAGTCACATGCTTAAGTGTCTGGTTTAAACAAACAACATGACCCTAAGGTAGTACAACTTGGTGTCAGATAAATATGTGTTAACAGAAAGACTAAAGGCCGGTGCATTATTCATGCGAATTTCAGAATAAATCGAACGGCGAGCACACTTCAATTGTTGACGTCATGAATTTCGCCTCGCTTTCGCTTTCGCTTCCGTATGAACCGCCCTCGATTTTCAATACACTGATTGATAGATTTTGTTTGCCAGTGTCTCCTAACAAATTGAGTCAATGATCGAATTATCAAATCGACTCCTTGAACATTTTCTTCGTTGAAAAAAAAATGACGCACTTTACTTTAAACGATCCAAGAAATAAACAGAAGGTGTTGCCACGTTGGTTCAGGTACTTTCAGTTTAAAAAAAACCGTTCATAAATGTCATTCTTTCCGTTCCCAATGCATCATATTTATTGTCAATCCGAAAGTAACAGCAGCGATGATTTTCCGCTGAAATTGATAATGAAACTGCTCCACAAAATACTCAAATGCCAGGTAGAAGTTGACCGATTTTACAGCCAATTTGAGTGTTTAACTTTGATTTAAGTTAAACACTCTCAGGGGTGTGAGCGACCACTGATAAAAAGAGCTGAAAACACCTGAACAAGGTGTAAAAAAGCTGAACTTTGGAAATCTCTTATACTTTTGTACACAGCAAGTGAGGGGAAAACAACAAGTGAGGGAAAAAACAGTAAGTGAGGGAAAAAACAGTAAGTGAGGGAAAAAAGCTGAAATCCAAAACTGAAAACAGCTTTAATTCTGAGATTTTACATCCCCGACTACTACTTACTAACGTCTAAGGGACTTTTGAAACGCTTCAAATAATCCATGTACAATATCAGCAAAGAGAAACATTTGTATTCGCTGTACAAAGAGTGTACAAGTCCAACGGGACGAAAAACATTTCTTTTAATTTCATTTGGTCTATTCAGCTTTAAAAGTCATATTCATGCCACAAACAGTTCGCTTTGAACATTCGTTTCTCCTTTTTCGAAAATATCTTTATTCATAATGTCAAATTATGTACATCATTCATTGTGCTAGATGAGTTTGAGCGGTACTGTATGTAATATAATACACACGAATTTATATTATAGGCCTATATGGCAAAAATTAAATAAAGCTACAAAAACAAAACAAAACAAACGATAAACAATTAGCAGGAATGTAGTTTGATTAAGATCATCATTGCATTGCTTTCCTTAAAGGCAGCAATTTTAAGATACATAATTTGTCATAAAGCTCTATGTTTAATAATCTAAGGCAAGTGATTGCTGCAATTGCACAGTGAATTAGACAGATAAAATAAAATCTGTAACAACTTTGGCCTATTTCGGTGAAACTTTCTTTCAATAAAGTAAGTACTGTTTGATATAAAATGCAAATTAAGTCAAATGAAATCACCACACTCACATACAATGTAATCCATATAACGATTCGCAAACTGCTAACAATTTTAAAGCCGCTGATAATATAAACTAAGCATGATAAACAAATTAACATCAGAAGGGGTACTGAGTTGAATTATGGTCCCCAGATTTATATACAAAATAGTTTATAATTCATCAAATACACCTCACACGGCTTGTGACTAGCGCCCTTGAACAAGGTATTAAAACTTGGAGGAACCATCAACATAGGGTGTGATATCTTGATTGGTAGAACACTGGTATGCCAATCCGGAGGTCGCAGGTTCAAGTCCTATTCCAGTCAATATCTTTGTTCAACTCCACAATAAGTATTTATATTGACGGATGGGATTTTCAGAAATACAAAAAAATTAATTACCCGACCCCTCATACATGAAAACAATTTCAAGAGAAGAATCAGAAGTGATTCATGTGACCCAGATCTAAAACAAATAAAAGTAAAATAAAATAAAACATAAACAGTTTTATACAAGTTGAACCTGCTGGTCGTTTTAACCAGTAAATTATGATGATTGTTCCGTCAAAATTAAAATTCATGACATAATCAAAATAAAAGTAAAAGAAAAACTGAAGGCCATTGAAAAAAGTGTTTATTTTTGTAAAACACAAAAACACGCATAGTAAAGAGCAGAGGTGGTGAAAATAAATGTACAACTTTTACGCCATGAATGAAGTGTAAAAGCTAAACCATTCATAATCAAGCAATAAACTTCGGCCAATGAAAATCCTAATTTCTGTTTAAACAAAACAAGCAGTTTCAATAAAAATGTGTGCAATAATTAATTTGAGCCTCTTAACATTAGCCTCTTCATTTTTTATCATCAAAGTATTCTTGTGAAATCACACTGGTTATGTATAAAATCTCAAATTACATGTACTTATCTGTAGTGCATGAAGAACACAGAAATTTCAGCAAAATTAAGTAGCTAGACGGTCCTCTTACCACCGAACTTCTCCCCCCAAAATACACAACATCAATGACTTAACCCTTTGCTCTACCGCACCCTCAAAACGCTTCAATTATTGATGAAGAAAATGCCCCATGTTTACATTAGGGACATACATTGGTGCAGACTGGGATGTCCATCGTCTTAATTTGTTCTGAATGCGCACAAATCAGTAGGGTCTTCGCCAGAGCCTCAGGCGTCAACAGTAGTTGGTTCAAATGTTTCTCCCAGTGGTCTCCCCCAACTCTCCCATTATAATCGTCGAGGGGGTACTTGCGCACGTAGTCCAATTGGCTTGCAAATTATTGCGCGTTGTTTTAATTCCATCCAATTAAGGCAAATAATTTTGTATTCAAAGAGTAAACCTCACCGGTCAAATCCTCGTCAAGAGATCCTTCTGGAAGCCTTCATCCTTGATCTCGGATATCAAGGCGTCCATCAGTAGGTCTAAGGCTGTGAACATCAGATGCCTAGGTATGAAGAAAGAGAGAGACGGATGGGAAATAATAAAAATAAAGTTAGAGATTTATACTTCACCCAAAATCACTAACGAAGTGTTATGTAATTATAGTCAGCAAAATTATATGGATCATGTCACACACTTAGCAAATGATACAGTCGTTGGTACTACAAGTGTATTCAAAACAAAATAAATTGTTCGGAAAATTGGTCAATAAATGCTACCCGCAAAAAGGAACAGGATTGAACTTACCTGTTAAGCTGTGGATCTCCTAAAGAGTCGAGAAGCAGCTGCAGTCCATCTTGCCAGTCTTGTCTGTCAATAACTTTGTAAAATGACTCTGAAATCGAAACGAAATACAAGTCTCAAACAAAACTTAAAGGTAAGAACCGTCGATACAAACATTTTCAATAATCAATACATTAGAAATCCAATATCGAGAATATTTGATATATATTGATTTAAGTACAGTTACTTTGATTTGAAAAAAAGTTACATCAATAAATTCCAGTTTAAGTCAAAATTTTCCACGGCTTTCTCTAGAGCATTTTGCTCAAACGTTTAAAAACAAATCTCAGCACTGAGAGTTTGTCCAGAATGGGTGGTTTCTTTTGAGGTTTTACATTGGAGGAGACTGCGAAGTTGGGGTTTTACATTGCGGGAGTACCGGTGTAGCATGAATTAAGGTTTTATGAAATACGGACTCATTGGTGGTATTGCGCATGCTCATGAATAGATAATTAGGAGAGGGACCAGTCACGTGAGAGGGTTTAACCAATGAAAGGGAAAAAAGTCCGATTTTCATACGAGTCCGATTTTCATATGACACCGGCACCCTCTCTGCAGTGACCTTTGATTGGAAGGGGCTTGGATTCTAGATGACAAGCAAGGTAGGTAGAATTTGAAAGAGAAATACAAAAACTATGTAACACTCTTCTTGACTATCTTGATAAAGAATTAGTCTCCACGTACCTGGCATAGATTCTACAAGCATAGTCAGAACTTCCTTAATTGTTGCTGCCTTCTCAGTCTCTGTTCGTGTGCCTGCCCCCTCACTGGCAGAGAGTAACTTGCCTCCAGGCCACAGTACCTCTCGTAATTCTGCCAGGAAGAAGGCACACCAGTGCTCCGACAGAAGCACATCAACTTGTCTCTCAAGCCATCTACAGAAACAAAAAACAAGGCAAAAACAACTTATTATTCCAGAAACTGCTGATTTTGGCAGATGGATGGTTGAAGTTATAGCAAAATATATTGTATTATGTGATTTTGTTGCCTTATCCATGCTCTTCTAACTGCAACCTCCACTGCACTTCAACATTTGCCCATTCAGGAGATGCGCGAAGAGTAATGCACACTCCAAAATATATATAATGCTCTGATAAACAAATTAGCGTCCGCTAGTGCATGTAGTGGTACATGTATTGGTATGTCAAAGAGACTCGGTAAATCATACTATCTAAGAACATTATTTATAAACAAGATCAAATGACATACGAAAGACCCTTTTCGAAAAACCGAAACTTGAATCTACATTGGGGTCACCACCTACCCATCAAGAAGATCTCCAGCTAGTATTGTCAGTACATTCTGGAAACCCTCATCCAGGAACCAGAGCTCCTTGTCATGGAAGGCTTCTCCAAGAAGACACAGCACGGAATCAAACAGTGCAACCTCTTCCATACCCAGCACTGCGCTGGACTCCTTCCCTTCCAACTGCGTCTCTACAACTGAGGCATCCGGAGATTCACAGCCATCTCCCTCTGAGCGCGGTCCAAGGAGGTGGTCAACGATAGGACCGGTGGCAGTGGCGGGATAGGCAGGTAATGGGGAGTTGGCAAAAGTCTTGAGACTGTGGTCTTGGATGATGCTGCACATTGCTAGTTGCAGTGTTGTCTATCACAGAAGAAAGATGAATTGTTTTAAAACAAAATCATAAGATTAAACTCTGTATCCACTCCTCTACTTCATCCATCAGAGAGTATCTCAAGTCATTTACTGCACACTTCAAGGATAAGTAAGGAGATTGGCATATCTGGCTCACTGGCAGAAGAAATGAAACAAAGTCAGTCCAGAAAAGCTTTCCTAGACTGTACTTGGCAGCTAGCCAATCCAGGGTAGAATTCAGTAACAATATCTGGCCCTTGGCCGTAACTAAATAAAGAAGGCAAATTTGGCTCCTTAAGCAAACACTAAATCAAGCTATCAACTGTTATGTCTTGATCATTACCTTTGGTCTTCTATCAAACGTGAAAATCCTTTCTCCGCTGCTGCCATCTGGTTCATCGATGGAAGGTGACCCAGGCCTGGGAGATCCTGGGGGAGATAATAACCTCTTCCCTGCCTCCTGGGGGCCCCTGGCCTTCCTGATGGGTGACATAGGGGGACTCATTGGGGGCAAAGGGCCCAGGTCACTTAGAGCCCTGGGAATGGCAGATTTGACCTGCTTGATGGTGTCTACCAGGCCTGATACGCGATTCCGCAGCATCTATTTGAGACATGAGTGATATTGAAGGTATCTACAAATGTTGTAATATGAGGCATATTGTAATGGGAATTGTAATGAGAATTCAAAGATTTATGATCCCATACAATAACAATAATAGGTATTTGAGCAAAGAACCTTTTAAAATCGTCCAAATTCTTCATAATGTGCAGAAAACCAATTACACATTTTTTTTGTACTACACCTTCACGGGGATAAAAGCCTCCTAAAAAGAAAAATGGCGGGATTCTACCTAAATCCTCAAAACTGTAAAGGTGGATTTTAAACTTTCTATGAGGGTTCGAGTTAGAACCATGTTTGTAGGTACCTTTACCTTATCTATTCTTGGCACATATTCTCTGGGGTGATACCGGACATATTCTATGTTGGTGTTTCCTTCCAAGGCTAGGAACTCAGACAGCTCACTGCTGCAGTGTAGTAAAGGTCTGGCAAGCAGTTGCTGCAAGAGAATTACATTAAAAAAAAGAATTTAAAAAAAAAGTGATTTCGATCTCGGCACAAAATATAATAAAGGCATAAAGTTGCGTATTAATGGGCTAAACATAGCTTTTGATAATACTACTATGATACGCCTTGGTGAGCCCAAACATTTTTTTAGGACATTGATAATTTTTGATGACCTTACTCACATTCAGTGCAGTGGTCCAGAATGAAACGACTTACTCCAAAAAGGGAAGTGGTTCTGAGAGTTTAGAGGTGTTCATCATTGTTTCAGTCAGTACACTCTGACTGATAGCAGGAGAATCATGATTTTAACATCAAGACAACGTCTCAAATTCTGTTCTTTTCAAACCACTTCCCTTTTCACAGTGGCATATCTGCAACATTTTTCACATAAATGATGAAATCTCACAATTATCGGTATGGTACACTACCTGTAGATAGCGTTGGTGTCCAACGCGCCTCTGATCAATAGCTGACTTGGCGGTTGGTGCGAGTGGGATGGACAATCGCTTGGGAACATCGCGTATTCCTAAAAAGAATAAATCCATGTCAAGATTGAATGATATCAAATACAAGTGTATATACATCAGTGACTTTACAAAAAAATTGCAGTGAATTGTCTTGCTCATGACAACAGACACAATTCAATGTTCACAAAAAGGTTAAAACTCTAGCTGCCCTGCTCTAGTGTGCTGCAGAATATTTGTTAGCGAAACACCACGTTTTAAGCAAGAAAATCACAAGTCAACTGTCAATCACAAGTCCATCACAAGTCCATCACAAGTCAATCACAAGTCAACCACAAGTCAATCTCAAGTCAATCACAAGTCAACCACAAGTCCATCACAAGTCAATCACAAGTCAATCTCAAGTCAAATCACAAGTCAAATCACAAGCTAATCACAAGTTAATCACAAGTCAAATCACAAGTCAATCACAAGTCAAATCACAAGTTAGTATTTATTGACTAGCTTGTCACTTTAGCTTGGTGAATTGTGATAGACTTGTGATTGACTCTGCTTGACACCGGCTTGACTCTTACCCACCCTTCAAACTAAGTTTCAATTGAGGGTTGTGCTCCAGCCGTGAGTGCAGGTTGACAAACTCTCTGTGCCGTCTCTTTGCCGTCTTACGGATAGGACTCACATCACATCTGTCCAGGTTCTCAGTAGAACTTGAGGGTGAAGTAGTTTGCAGGACATCAAACTGTTTAAAAGTACAAAGCGAAGTTGGGTTGAACACCCAATACAACACACTTTACATTTAAATCCTCACAAAATTAATTGAGACAAAAAGACTGCTCCAAAAAAAAACGAAAAAAAGAAGAACAAACAAATGAACCTCTTCTGCACTTTTTCCTAGAAACTTACCACAATCTTGAAAAAAAAAATACTCAAATTTGCAGGAAAGTAGTTGTCCATTGTTTCTACATGATTACAATTTTAGGGGGAAAGTGCCATCATGCAGAGTAGAAGTGGGCGGGATCTACAAGTCTAAAAATTCTTCCAACAGACTGAATTTGTACAGATACGTGGTAATCTCAGGCCCGGCCATTTCATTCAAAATGCATCCAGCCATGCTCATAGCATGATGGGACGCATGTGTGTTTTCAATTAAATGCCCCAAGATTACCACGTGACCACAAAGATGGTAGTACATGTATCTTGAAGGATCCAGGAGTGTTAGGTTTAAGAAACATCAAGTTCAGAAACATCTAGTTACTGGAACAATGCAGTACCTGTATTGAATACACGAAGAATTCTCCCTTCCCTCCAACTTCTTTGCACACCTCTGCTTTAGGAATTTCAAGATTGATTATCTTCATCGGCAGCAAGCCTTCTGTGAACCCCATCGGAGGTTCCAAGTCTGACATTTCAGGTGCACTGACTGACATCATTCTCGGATTTTCTGCTGACGGTGTCTGCATTTTGTCACTGACACTGATGACTGGGCGGAGTTGTGGGAGTAGGGGCGGGGATCTGCTTTGCTGGATTGAGGATGAAACTGGTGTTGTCTTTTGGACTGGGACTGGAATCGCAATAGGTGCACTCTGCTGGTTTGCAGGAAGTGAAACGTTCTCTGTTTGTGTCATTTGACACTTCTGCGATTCAGGATGGTTCTTCTTTGAGAAGGATACACGTCTTAGGAGCTTTTTTATGGGTGATGAATCTGTGACATTTATGGCAGGAGGAGTTACTTGAGGGCCTACTAGGCTCACTGTGCCATGTGCAGGACTTAAGTTTTGTATTTCAGCATCAGTAGTTGGCCCTGATGCATAATATGCATCATCTGAGTTTGGAATGTCACCGGATGGGAAGATTTGTCTAGGACTAGAATTTGAATCTTCATGGTTCTCCACGCTTCGCATGGCAATCCCTCCATCAATTTCACTGGTTGATTTTGACTGCTTCATCATTTGTGACTCGCTCAGAATTCCCGAGTTTAGTACGTTGGTTGTTGGAATTGCGCTTCTCGAACTTCCCTCTAAAGCAAACTGGTTGTCAATGACACTGAATGGCGTATTCAATTGACTGGTGTCATAGTCAATGCTAGAAAAGCTCTCCGACGAAGAACTCCTTGGTCTAACATCATTACTATCAGTTCTCATGAGTGGTGTCACTGCTATTGCCGGTTCGATGGCTGTCAGTGGAACTGCAACTTGGTAGCAGGTACTAGTATTCTCTGAACCTTCTGTTGGTGGTCTTGGAATGGAAGGATTGGCAGAAGGCACTGCCGCAGGGATTATGTCTCTAGGACTTGGACAAGGTCCTTTAATACTGGGTATAGCATCTCCAGGAATGAACCCTCCATGTGCTGGATGAAAAGAGGAGTCAGAGGCAGTTCTGCGATGACTCTGTACGAAGAGTGAAGAACAAGCTGGGGAAGTTTCTGCCGACTGTTGGCCATGGCTCACAGCAGACTGAGAATGGATAACTAAAGCATCCACAGATCTGGAGATAGGAACTCTGGATAAAGACGAAACAGCTTCTTGATTGGCTCTGTGGACCACATTTGGATTCCTGGATTCAAGCTGAAATGGGCCTTTTCTGTCAGTGTCAGGTTTGAAAGTTGGCTCAGAATCACTTCTTGGCTCAAAGACATCACTGAGGATTGCTGACTTTGGTGGCGTGGGTGATGAATGCTGTTTGTCTGAACCCTGTGATAAATTGGTCATCTGGAGTGAGCCTTTCGGAAGACAGGAAGCAGAGGACTGGTCCGATTCAGGGTCATAGGGACAGGAAACATTACTGATACCTTTGGGGTGGAGGTCACCTTTTTCACTAGGACTAGGTTTCTTTGGCTTTGAGCTATCTGCACCTTCACTCTCAAGTGTTCCTATCTTTTCTGGCGCACTCACTATACTCGAAACAATGAGGTGGATGAGTCTGTACAGAAAGTCAGGATCAGCGAGCAAATCCAGCAGGGGCAGCAGCAGATTGCACGTTAGAATTTCTACAAGGACGGCTGTACTTGCTTGACACTGATTGACATCTTCTGTCACTGCGGAGTGCAGAAGAACTCTCATCACACTTTTCAGGTAGTTCATTTCTGTGTCTGCGTCTTCAATTGCAGGATGCATCAAGCAGAATGTCTCATAAGATGCTACCAGACTGTTGCTGTCAATTGTTCGTCCACTACGCAACTTTCTCAAACTGGAACGGGCCCGCTGAAACCGGTAAACATGAGTTCGAATCTCAACTAAGAAATTCGTGAGGAGGCTCCTTTTGCTTATAAATTTTACACGGGAACTGAGGTTTGCAAATGTGTTCATCAAGACGTTCAAAAGTTCTTCAGATACTTGACTGTGGTCACTGACATAAACGCTATACCACGACAAAACAAAATCATGCATCACACTTTTAATAAGATGCTGAAATTCTTCGTCCACTGTGCCAGGCAACGACAGTTGATCCAATCGGCACATGTTTCTCAGGTGGGCATAGTTTTTGGCAAAGTTCTTGCTTTTGATGGAGCAATTTATCGAGTGCCTATCCAAGTCCGCCTCAAAATTTGGCAAGACTGACAGACCAGCATGCTTCCTTTTCTCCTTGACACGGTCGACAAGATTCGGCAAAAATGGCAAGAGGTGTCGGGAGCGGAACACCCGCACATGACCTGCCACGCGTGCAGCGGCCCATCCCCCCAAAAACACGGCGGCAATGAAAATGAATACCACATCAGCCCGTGACAGAACGGCCAAAACGACGAACAGAAACACTCCCCCGACCACCACCTTGTCCAACGGTGGTCGACTCTGAAAGTACTCGCCTACTTTTCGTAGGCTCTCGACAACCTGCTCGAACTTCATCATTGATTTCCATTTGTTTATGTTGGAATTGGAAAGACTTGAAAATGTTAACTTTTGTCAGTCCCGTGCACGGAGTCCCGTGATATGATATGATGCGCACTGTGGCCTTATACATACAGTACATATAGCCCAATTTGTTCCGTTACATAAGCAACAACGGGGCAAATTTACTTGCGTGAGAAATAGCACAAAGAGGTTAAATAATCGCCCAACTGTGTGAATCAACCTCGTTGTTTGCTCGTTATAAACTGTATGCTATTGAAGTATAGCCCTGTAAAAAAGGAAAGCTGGTGATTTTTTATAAAAGGACTTACAGGAATGGACAGTGTAAGATCAAATCTACCAAAAACAAATTTTCCAGCCAATCACGATTGTTGGTATATAATATTTAGGAAGAAAAACTCCGCGGAATTTTAGAAGTCGTTTCGTCTGCTAGCAAGAGGTATTGAGCGGTGCTCGGTTCTTCGAAATTTTGTGATATATTTTGGGCTTTATGTGGAGTAATAAGAGTAGAATTGTGAAGTTTTAGTTAATCTTTGAGGTTTGAGTGGGTTCATATCGTTTTCATTTTATTTTTAGCGTCAACTGTCAAGTTTTTCATAATGTTGTTTGTGTTTGTGGTAGGCCTGCATGCCGTACTTTGCTTTGCGTAGAGTTATGGGAAGCATGACACGTGCAGCCAGCGGTGCACCATGCACATCGTCAATTGTCATGTATACACAACCCCGTACGCACGCCATTCCAAGCTTTTTGTGGTCGTCGGTGAATAGTGGTTAGGCCATACAAAGTATAGCCTGCCTTTAACCGTTAACAAACTAGTATATGTAACTTTTTGTCACTTGAATTTTTTGAAAATTTATTAAAAAGTGGCGTCCGTCATGTCCGTATGCCGAAACCTTTCCAAATTTTGAGAAGTTGTTTTGTCTCAAAACAAAACTACATGTATGATGTATATGTAATATGTTATTTATTTCACAAATTCCAGGTTCCCAAATTATAAGGTAGGCCTAAGCTTCAAATATTTAACTTCTTTTTGCTCTTTCTTGTTGTTTTGACTCCAGATGAAGATGAGTGGCCTGAAGACTCCCGATTATTCTCATCTACATTCAGAAGACTTTCAGGATGTATATGAGCCTGCAGAAGACACTTTCCTTCTCCTTGATGCCTTGGAAAAAGATGCCGAATTCATTCAAAGAAAAAGGTAAGATTCTAGGATTTTGTTTTAAGTCCTGAAATTCAGGACATTTTGCCAATTTTTAAAAAAATTTCAAACATTTTATTTGCAGTTTCCAACACTTCTTTCACAGAAAAACAATTGAGTTTATTTAATACTCACCTGAATTTAAATTATATTTTAATCAATTTACCTTAATAATTGTCGCCCATATGTCTGTCTCAATATTGTAGGCCATGTGTTTGTGTGGAAGTTGGCTCGGGCTCAGGAGTTGTGATTACATTTCTTGCTCAGCTATTGAACAACTTCAGCATGTGCTTGTAAGTATTTCCCAAATAAAAAGGCAATTGCTGTTGAAAGGAAAACCTTTCATCTTGGGTGTAAAAGGCTACAGAATTTTGAAATACACGTAGTGTCATGAGTGTGTATTCAACAGTTTAGATGTGTATGTTCTATTAAGCGACACACATTATTATTATATTTTTTTCAAATCACTTAACGTTCACTGACTCATTCTTCCTCACTTTCTAGGGCTGTAGATAGAAATCCCAAAGCAGCCACAAGTACAAAACGCACAGCAGCTCAGAATGGTGTGGCAGTGGAGGTCGTGAACTCTGACCTTTTGAGTGCCCTCCAGCCTCACCTTCATGGTAATGTGGATGTGTTGGTGTTCAATCCTCCGTATGTTGTAACTCCACCGGAAGAGGTCAGTCGGGTATCACATACATTATCTTGTTCTTAGTTTCCAGCTTTTGGAACAAGGACTGTTGCATTGTAGACAATCCAAATGGTCGAATGGTTGACCTTGTTGACCCATGCTCAATGTGATGTAGTTCTGCTCATGGTAAACCCTTGTTGATTTCAACAGGTTAGAAGTGTCAGGCCTTAATAGGTTTTAATTGCATTGTCTTAATTACGTGTGTGCTATCATTGCAACAGGTTGGAAGTTCCAGCATAGCCTCATCATGGGCAGGAGGTACGAATGGAAGGGAAGTGCTGGACAGACTACTACCTCATGTTGGCCAGTTGCTTTCAGCTGAGGGTGTCTTCTATTTACTTGTCATCAAGGAAAACAAGCCAGGTTGGTACAGGTACACTGGAACACCTTACAAGGTCCTTGGGAGTTTACGAATTACCTTCTTATAACAGGTACCTTGTATTATCAGTAATGGAAAACAAAGGAAAACAAAGACTTGGGACATAAAATTGTTCTAGTTATAAGAAAAGTAAAGTCTGTCCCGAGCCAATGTGGCTCATCAGGCCGGCGTTTATCTCCGGTTTCAGTAGCATGAAACGACGGAGAATATTACTACTCCCCCTGGATGGGATGCTAGTCTATCGCGCGTTACTCCCCAGCTAATGCCGGTACCCATTTATACTCCTGAGTGGAGAGGGGCAAGTAGGGGTGAAGTGCCTTGCCCAAGGACACAATATGACCAGCAGCTGGATTCGAACCCCGGACCCTCTGATCATGAGTCACGAACCCTAACCACTAGGCCACACACTCCACACAGTTATAAGAAGGATGTTGTATTATCAGTGCTCTTCTTATCAGGGTTTGACTGTACTTGTAATTATTAGAACGTGTTACCCATGCTGTCATTTGATTTGCTGAGAGCAAGTCACATGGTCTTCATCATTCTTTCCCTCCAAACAAGCGTATCCTCATCTAGAGAAATAATCTAGACAAGCAAATACGTAAACAAAGTGTGTGATGAGAAATAAAGTTCTCTTCATGCAAAAACCGCCAAAAAAAACCCCGAAAATGTCAATTGTGAACGTGTGTTAGAAAGTGATAGTCGTTATCTATATTCACTTTAGAGTGAAAATTAACATTGGTCACGTTCATGTTGCACTTGGGGTTTGTTTTCCAATTGTAATGCATCTTCCTTTTCATTGGTCCACTTTGACAGATGATATCAGACAAATCTTGGCCGAGCAGAAGTTGTCCTGTGAAGTCTTAATAGAAAGGCGGGCAGGACCTGAACATTTGTCGGTGCTGAAGTTTCATCATGATCCACCAAGCTGACCTGATTCTTCCAGCAAAGCTATGTCTTTCTTTCATCAGTCAAGATTTAGCTGGAACAAAAATAGTGCAATATAAATTTTCTTGTTTAAACTAAATTTGCTCACACTGAATTGGTAACATAATGAATCGTCCAACTGATGACAAGACAAAGTGGCTCAGTTAGATTGACTCAGGATGCAAGTTACTATCCCAAACTTGGCCTCTTCTTGTGACAAGTAGTTTGCCATTATCCTGCCATTTACATGCACTACGACCATATTGCTGAGGATGATTCAAATGGGTGCAGTCACACAAGAATGGAAAGCGACCTCTCGATAACACATCTCCTCAGATCTGATTTCAAGTGCAATCACTACTGATTGCAAGAGAGCAGCTTGAACATGTAGAACCCTCATCAAAGACCTTCTTCTAAAGCTTGATTGCACATGAATTAAGAACTTTCACATAAACAGGTGCATGATGTACATGTATATCGGCAAAAGTATAGAGGTTAGAGAGTCGGAACAATATGGTTACATGCACCAGGCAACTATCCTCAATACCACAAGGAAATTTCGGACAAACTGAACGGAGCCCAATGATGGGTACTGATCCGTGTCAGGAACCCTGTGTGCAGATCTTCCTTGATGACCTGATGCTTATACAGTGTTCCAGAATTAAGAGTCCCCAATGAGTGAGGGTGTCACTTTGGAGTTCAACTTGTAAGAGGGTGGTTCCATCCAGTATGGAGATGCTTGCTGTGATAGTGATAGTAATGATTGATGATGAAGGTCAAAACGATGATGAAGATGAAGCTTAACACTGAAGGACTTATAAAGGTACTGTTTCAAATCTGGTTTCAATAGAACACCATTGTTCTTCCAGGTCAACATTTTGACACAGGATTAATCTTTTCAACTGCAGTTATTTTTTTCTTATTTTGTCCATACCTGCTTACTAATATGCATGGTTCCACATCATCTGTTTTGTTTTATGGGTTCAAGTTACCCTTGACCTTTTTAAGTTCACTTGCATCATTTTTGTTCTGCATGCTTTAATACAAACACCACCCATTTATTGAGCTACATGTACAATATTACCTTGTTTTGATTGTTTAAACTGCTCAATGAGTTAACTGCGTTTATTATTCTCTCATTTGGTTTAAATTTTATGCATTGCTCTCTAACAAAGTGTTTTTGTTTTTTTTGTCAAAGAACGACAAAAGCTGGTTTATCTATTTACTTTAACAGCGCCCTCTATTGATAACTGTAGAAAATCAAAAGTGGACTTTCCTATTGATTTGTGATACTGATAGCGATTGGTCCAAAATTGTTGAGCTTGTATTTATGAAGTTTGCAATGTTCATCCAATTTGCTTCGGAACAAAATAAGGTAACATTATTTTTTGGGACGGTTGGGGATCTCTAAAAGTACATGTACATCTTTCCATATCTATTAAAATAATGAATATAATTTTGAATTTTAAGAGAATAAGACACTGCTGTATGTAGGGTGCTCTTAACTTGAAAGGTAAAATCAAGCATTATGTAGCTCATTTTCAGTTAATTCATGATGCATGTGTTTAATTTGACATTAAAGAAAGCACTACATTGTAATTTTTGGCAGTTTTATTTTGATTTGTTTTGGCCTTCGTTTATTTTATATTTTACTCATGTGTTGCCTTCTGTAAATTATTGGTTCTTTTCAATTGTTCGGAGGACTAAATTTCAAGGGAGCTTGATATTTTATAACATGTTCTCAAATGTGCATAGCCTGGCTGTAAAAATGCAGAAATAAGAATGTGGGAAAGGACTAGAGGGCGCCACACAGAATTTTGGCACGGATTTTAAAACGGCCAGACTAAGATCTCATTAAATTGCAGTACGAGTTTTTACTTCTTAAAATAACAGTAACATTGAAGTCTCACGCAGCTCTTGAATTTTAAAAAAGGTTCGCGTGCCAAACTGAACTTTCTGTAGTCGTCAATTTTCTTACTGCCCGTTTTAAGGAGTGCCCTTTGGTATTTTACGCTCATGCAAGTTTTCTTATTTATGAGCGGCGTGTATTTTTTTTCTTCATTTTTGGCATAAAAAAGTACCAGTGTTGCGCAGTGACTTCAGCAAAAATAAATATCAGAATTTCGAGCGTTTCGCCTCCGAAAAAAAGTTTATTACGTCCTGCCGACCCTGTCTGGGAACCCCACTTAAAATGTAAACATTTGATGGGAGAAAAAAAGGCAGTGAGGCTCTATGTTGTTAGAAAAGCTATGGCAATTAATGTCTGATTCCACTCGAAGAACGCGGTGCACGTATAGCACCCCCAACCCCCTCCGCGGGGCATTTGAAATTCAAAGAATATAATAACTTTGCGCTGTGGAAATGATTTTTCTTTTCATTTGCCTTCAGCACCCCTTGAACAGTTAATACACTCCAATGCCTCCTTAGTTCCATAGAACTTTGACCCCGGTTTAATATAATGCCGCTCCTGTACGGTCGGTACGTTTACCGTTGGAGAAGAAAAACATACTCCACCAAAACACGTACCGGCCTCAAGGGATGTGCGTGCAATGCGTGGATAGTGCACGTGTACATGTACAACGATGAAAGTTGGCACCCGTGCACTGCACTTAACAGACCGATGAAAGGGAAGGCTCAAACTGGAACGTTTTTTTGCGGTACATGTCCGATCGATGATGGTTTCACATTGTGCAGTTCACTCATGGTATGACGACCACACGCAAGGCTGTGCTCATGGCTGCCTTCAAGTTAGTGTGCAGGCGAGTCATCAGGCAGCCATTGAAGATGTTATGCCTACTTGTCATTTTACTCGGCGTCTTGCATCTGTGTCTCCGCAAGCGTGAGCGGGCAGCGGGGTGGGAACACGCCGCGCACGGCCCGGGGAGCCACGGCCTGCCCGCCGCTGTTGGCGTGGGCCGTGGTATTGTTGACGAGATTAGGGTACCCGATATGCCGCACGGACGGAGTGAACTGTAAGTAACTATACATATGTATTATTAAAAGTTGATGAATTGATACGAGATTCTTTGTGTGTAACAAACGGCACAGCTAGCTCATTCATGTTTTGTGTACTGCCACAATAGAAAGATTTTCAAGGTGCAGTAATTATTATTAGATACATGAATTTCTTAGCCAACACACCGTTCTATAATGTGATATTCTTCGTTATTGACCTTACCTGTTATTATAAAATGAAGGGCAGATCTATTTTTAGTAAGAATAGCAATATCGCTGGAAGTGGAAACTAGATTGAGTACTGTACAATCATTCTGACATGTACATTGTACATACCAGCAGTTTGTGTCATGTTATGTAGAATCGGAAAGGGATGTTCAATTATTGGCCCTTTGGATCCAACTTCCGTTAGCATATTCTCGATAGCTATGTTGTTTCACTTATAGTGTACACTTTTCTCTTTGGAGAGGTTTCGAAAGCGTACACGTAAGCTGAAATGTTCCATAAATCATGTTGTTTCTGCTGTCCGAGAGAGACACAGAGCTATATCTTTAAGCAGTAAGATAATCTTACGGTCTGTCTTTCTCCAGATATGACAGGCTTTGATTCAGATCAAGACTAGTACAGAAAGAAAAACGCTGAACAAAATTAGATAAACGTCACTCACTCTACAGATCAGACAACAAACTCCTCTGATTTTTTATCAAGCAAAGATAAAACAACATCTGAGTTTTGAGGTCTCTATAATCAAATTTTTTAAGAGCAGAGTTTTCTTGAGCTATTTGCATCAGAAAGTGAAGCAATTCAAGCAAACTGATCGAAATTTGAAGTCTAAGACTTGATTGGTCCATATCCAACAACTGAAAAAAAAAATCGAACATCGTTGGGGTTGACGATGTTATACTTTGTGGGACGTTGAGTAGCTTGTGTATATTAGGAATTTTACTCGCAAAATGTAGGCCTACACCGATACGTTATTTTCTGTAATGTTTCCGTTTATGTTCTTTCTTTTTTTCAGGGGAACTTTAACTTCAAATCATCCTGCGACACAGCAAGACTGTTCTAATACGAAAATGTTTCCATCCGTGCCGGGATGCATCATTCGCGGTTTGAACTTCAGTCGGAATGAAAACTCCAAGAATATTTTTCATCTCCAGAAATTTGGAAGTCTGTCAACCCGCAAAAGCCCTGCTCCTTTCCCGTGGCCAAAGAGAGAGAACTACGCGTCAAACTACTTTCTGACTGTCAACAATACTCCGACGAAGGCAAACTCAAGCTCAACGCCAACTGACAGTGCACTTGTGTTTCTTCATCACAACAAAGCAGCCGGCACCACGGCCAAGGAGTGCCTGAGGCAAGTGGTGAAGGCCACTGACCGAGAGCTTGGACACGTCTTGAGCAACGAAGGCCGTCTTAACCTGATGTCCAACTTCCGGAAACTGCGGCGTCGAGGCAAACGCATACCGGACACCTTCTTTGGCGGGTATGCTTTCGGAGTTTGCGACGAGCTGCACAGGCCTTGCTCGTACTTCACGGTTTTACGAGACCCGTATAAGCGAACCCTCTCATCCCACTCGTACTGCCAGAAAGCCAGGACGGATCAACTGTGCACGGCTCTGCGCGCCGAGAAGGTGTCCCTTCGCGAATGGGCGCTGCATCAAGGCAGCTTCTTCTTCAGACAGTTGGTCTTCCATCCCGAGTTCTGCAGCGACCAAACCAAATGGATTCCCTTCGTGGACCTGGTGGGGGAACCTCACGAGTTTGACGGCCCGGAGACTCTGGAGGGCGCCACCTGTTGGTTCCGTCAAAAACTCATCATGTCTCTTACTCTCAATCGAACCCAGCACGATGCTGTCCTACAGTACTGCCTGGACAACCTGGAGAGATGGTTCAAGGTCATCATGCTGGTTGATGAATTTGACCTCTCGTTGGCTATGATGGAGCATGCGTACAAATTACCATTTCATGAATTATGCAGCGGGAGTCGTGTCAACATTGGGTCTTACGATAAGCAAAGGAACGCGACTGACTCCTTAAGACGGAACAGTGCAAACTCATCTATTCCTGATACCGTCTTGAATCAGTTACGGGAGCTTGAGGCAGACCCAGAAGTTCGGGATGCACTCCGAGCTGACGTTATGATATATCGGAAAGGTGTCGAGATCTTTGAGAAACAAAAAGACACATTTATGAAAATGAATAGAGTTGGTACCGTAGATTGATGTTGGTATACGAATTCATTAGCGGCACGTGGACTTCATTTTTGAAGTTACACTTTTAAAGAAACAACAGACTACAGATTAATAACCATAAGCCCTATACCATTGTCCAGAGATACCCAATTGCGAATCTATCAACCAGGGCGGATTTGGGGTGGGGATGCTCTTTTGGCGTCAAACATCTTTCTTTCTGGGGGGGGGGGGGATAGGGGCGTACTGCAAGCCTTTGAAAAAGATTTTTATTTGGGGCGCAAAGAGATCCGCCGTGAAAGCAGACTAGCTCCCGGTCCAACCATTATATGGACACTGACTGTATGCGGTGAGAACCAGCCTACCCACGAGAACAGATATATTGTCGGTCCGCCATTAATTCGACATGTACAAAGTTATGATTGAATAACTTAACGTGGGCCTTTTTTTCTGTTAATATCACATTCAAAAGTGAATAAAATTCATGCACTAGAAAAATAGTAATTTTAGAAAAGGAATATTATTTTGGGGGATAAAACTCGAAAATGGGGCTGGTAATGCAACTTTAATGGGATGCAACTTTTCCTCGGATCCGCAGATTTCCTCGTTTTTTTACTTCTCATGAATGCCATTACAAATTTAAAACCACTTTACGATGTCTATTTATATTGGTTTATCTCCATTCAACTCGTGGCTCTCAGGCCAAATTGCAAGAATGTTACAATATAAAAACATTAAAACAATGAAATGAAGAAAAAAATGCACACACTGGAATTAAGGAAGATTAATTGTCTTTATGTGGTTTGGAATTTCCTTCTTTTTTTCAATTCCTACTTGTATGTCAAAGACACCGCAACATGGACTGATACCGCACAGATCGTTTATTTTTACCCTTGCCACGAAGGAAACATTGCAGTGCCCACGAGCTGACTTCGTCTCAATCGCAGCCAACGTGTGAACATTCATCTTTATTTACAGCGAAGAGCACATCTCATGAACAGTCTCAGCGGCGCTTCAAATCGCGACGACGTCTCACGTAACCACCGATTATGACACCTTCGTGCCATAATAACACATTCGTCATTACATATTAACAAATCAATCTCGAATCCCTTAATAGCGTTCCCATGGCTTCTTCTGTTTCTGATGTTCTTTCTGTTTTCTTATTAATGAAATATCGTCGCCTTTTTTTCTTTTATTATTTTGTTCTGCTATGCATTCCACGAATAAGCTTTGCTTTTGGGAGCATGTATCTATTTAGCACCCTTTCACCCTATCAGTTACAGTATCAGTTACAAATAGAATTTTTTTTAACTGGTTTTGCTGTGGTAGGATGGCTCTGTGGAGGTGTTAGTCACCTGTTCCATCTTGCCACTCACTGGCTTAATCCGTAATCTGGCATGAACTCTTTTTTTTAAAACTATTTATTGAAATTGTAAATTCTCTGTATTTTTTAATCTGTGATTCTGTATATCTTGTAATATTTTTTTTATATCAGCCAGTGGAGAAGTGTAATAAAACAAATAAAATAGAATAGAATAACTGTAGCAAAACATGCCCGATATTCACATGACGCAAAGGCATTGGCCATCATTGCATGCAAACATTTAAAAATGAAACTGTACAATATCATGAAATATCCAAGTTGTTTGTAAGTAAATAATAGAATCATGCATTATGTGAATCGTGGCGCACATCATGCTGTCACTTTCGAGAAAAGTAGGATTTACCATAATATCCTCGCGGCGATATGCACCAAACCATGGCTCTTTTAACGGAAACCTATGCTTAGCGTCCAGAAAAGTGAATATGTAGGCCTTTAGATACAGTAAATAGTTACAGAGCTGAATTTTCGACGGATTATATTTTTTTCAATAACCTGCGTCAAATTAATTATATCGTTGTTCCTTGAATTGGCAAAACACTTTTTTTATTTTAATGGTGTCAATTGCCTTGAATTGTTCAAATTTTTGTCTGAATTCAAACGTCTTTGGATCTAAGTAGGGCCTATCAGTGTAGAAAGCAATATCTTTCAGACCTTTCATTCAATTTTCAGATGTTTTTTTTTTAAATGACAATCTCATCCCAGGGTAATCACAGTGCCTTCCCAACGCATTAACTGGAAACTTGATCTTGCACAATCCCGAAATGAACTCTCTATGTCCCTCGCGGCCGCTACCTCATCACGGCATTGGTTTACTTGTACACCTGCATTATTTATGCCCAACGGATGTGCCCAGAATCTGGACATGACAGAGATATTCATCAGCGGTCCTCGATTATTTTTTTCTGCAACCAAGTACAGTCACTTATAATGCGCATGCTCTAGGCCTTGTTCTTGGAGGTTCCGGGGATTTCGAAGCACAGTGTGCAGTATTTCTGAAAACTTCTGATTATCCACTATAGGCGTAGGTCACGCTTGAATCTTCGCCATAAATCTATACCTTAGTTATCAAGTCATTTCAAATGACCTGATATATTATATCGAGTAATAAAAGTACTTGTTCTACATAACCTCCGAGGACAGACACACAAAAGGAGAACAACAGATCCTTTCAGTCCTCTGTAGTAGGTTGTGCGCTTAGCCGGGGGAGTGTTATATTACAGGGACAAAGGAAAACACAAAGCATTGTCCTCGGGAGTATAGTAAAACAAGAGTGTATGTTCACGCGTGTGTAGCATTGCTGGTGCTATGGTTGGTTTTTCTCCTAAGGACTTCCACAACAGCGTATAATTAGGATGCCAGAAACATCGGGGCAAACCCCAACACTTATCTTAGCGATATGTGTTGCTGGGGTATTTTACTTGCGTTAGGCCTTATACGTACACGGGACCTCCTTAACGTCCCATCCGGAGGATGAAACAATAATGGTTAAGTGCCTTGCTTAAGGGCACAGTGTCCGGGCCCGGGCTCGAACCCACGTCACTGTTGCCTCTGAAACACCAGAGTACGAGTCCGGTGCTCTTATCCGCTAGGCCATGACACGCCATACTTGACTGCAATATAAAACTTTGACAGTATTCCCACAGCAACTCCCTGGGCCGTTGGAGCGTGTCGCACGCGGCGATGGCGACTGATATCCCCCCGGACTGAGCCGTGAACCCCTCATCATTTATGGATGGGGCGTATTCCTGTATGCTTTGGCCGTCAGATTGACTCTGGAGTCATACCGTTCAGACGGTGTTGAGTGATCGTGGCTGAAGCCTTGGCCTCCCGGCTCTAATCAAAAACTTATATCAAGGTGTCAAGCTTATTACAGCAAATTGTCAAAGAGTTTTTTTCATCCACGTGCACATAGATTAGATTTACTCGCGACAGATTGCAAGATTTAAACTGAAATTCTGAAGGTGGAAGAAAATGGTCACACCATCACAGTACCGATTAAAGTTTAATATCATTTCGATTCACGTTTTTTTTTAAATTTTTATTCTAAGTCATGGATGAAAACACTTTCTGGGTTTTTGTCAGAATGTAGAATATATTCAAAAGCGAGGTAGAATCTCGTATCCAAGTGCACCTCCAATCCAAGCTTTTGGTCTAGTCTTCTTGATCGCTGTGACACCATATCCGTTAGCCTATTGCAGACTCTATTTTAGGCGGGCGCTGTTTGAATTGGGTAAAGTCTTTTGTATATTTACCAGACCAAATAGCGCCCTCTATGTGTCTGCCATATCTCAACTATGCTATAACGAGGAAGCCATTTTCGATCGTGTTCCTTGCATTTATTTTGTAAATTGTAACCTGAATGGTATGGTGCCAGACTATTTTGTGATTGGATTGCGTTCCAAGCCTCACGTTCATTTTTTTAATGTGGCTTGTTTAATCACACATTTTTAAATCTTCATCAGAGCAAATTAATTTGTATTGAGCTTTATTTCATTTCTTTCATTTGTACTCGCCAGTTCCAAGAATAAAGAGTTAACCTCGCTTTCAATTTAATATGGCGGACTCGTGAACAAAGTCTAGGGCCTATTTTCCAAATGGAGACACCCTTTCGCGCTTATTTTGTGCACCAAAATGTGGACAGCATTTCAGGCTGACTGAGTTGCGGAGGTCAAATAACGCCCCCGCCTAGCGCGCAACGATTAGCGAAATTCATCTAGTCATTATATTGCTCATCATCTTTGTACCCCATATCCATCATATTCATCTTCCCTTTAATGTTTTGTTATGGACATTACACGAATTTCAATTATTTAGATTATGGCGCTGCTTATTTAGCTTACGGTTTATTCATATGAGCTTGGAATGGAGCATTTTATGACTAATTTAAAAAAAAAAATATTTTGGCAGTTTATTTGGATGCTTTGTGGTGCCATTTTGACCACAGATATTGGCAAACTATAGTGTCGAATAAGTACCAGTATAAGCTTTAGCTCGAACCGTGCTAACGGAGCCATCCAATACCCTTTCGTCGAAAGTTTGTTTCCTTTATTTATGTCGAAGATATATCCTTTAAGAAAATAAAGGATTTAACGTTTTCCTTTTTTGTGAAGAAATGAAGTTGTCCCAGCAAACCGTATAAAGTCTACTACAAACATTTTTCCCTTCGAAGTATACTTGCCATGATGCAAGTACAAGCGTCATTCCTTGTTTATTCAACGTCATCATTTTAAGCTTTACTAGGAAAAACAACGAACTGAGGAAGGAGAGAATAACATGCATAAAACTTGCATAGTAAAATGCATACCACATGAACATGCATTGTATGCATGTTATTAAAACCTTAACTCCCTATACTAGGAACCACACCCATCCTAGCGAATTCCAATTATGGAAAACTGCATACACATATATCTGACTTTGATTCTAGAGGTGCACGTGCCAACCCAATGTAAAAGACTGTCAGTTTTAGGGGTATTGGACCCATCCTGACAGACTCCAACAAAACATGTCGTTTGGGTTTGATGGATTGAGTTCTGTTAGGGCTATATTGATTAAGTTAACATCCAATTTTTGCTCCCCATTGCGATGTGTAAAAAGCGTTACCTATGAAAGCAAAAAACATATCTTCACTTTTTTTTGCACACTACACTTTGGAAGTTGTTAAGAGTGTATTTTATTACCAAAAAAAAGAGAGGAATTTAAAAACAAAAATATGCTCTCTCCGTGAATACTTATTTTTATCAGGAAGATTCAATTTTTGTGAAAATGTTGATTCAACGTCTTAAAAAAATGAAGAAGTCGAATGAATGTTAACCCTTTCTTTGTCCAGCTGTACAACTGTGTATTTACTGTTTACTGTATTACGCGTGTAGTAGTCTGATAAAAATGAAGTCATTTTTGTCTCAAGACCAATGGCATCCCATTATGTCGAAATGATACGAGATGATTTATTATTCATATTGATTTATTTCATTCACAGGCTCGGGCGCCGGCAGGTAACGATGTTTCATACAATATTCATCTCGCAGGGAAATTAATGCGGAGAGATCATTGGAGTTCTCTCCGCGTCCGGCGTGCAGTTGTACTTGTAGAATCAATAATGTATGTCTTCATGGAAGCGCATTGCATACGTTGTCTGCAGAAGGATTATCTACATGTGTGGTTTATTACTGTGCAAAATCAATAACAATTTCCAATGTATTTTAATCTTGCTTAGTCTCAATGTTCAATCTCTTTTGATTTTTCTTATTGAGATTACTCATAGAAAAACAGTCGGTGTCGAATCTTTCGAATTTTGCACTTTTTAATTATTACATCGACCTAGGTGCTGCATGCTTTATCGGATGTGACTTTACTCCAGTTACTCCATGCATCATCTTCGTTAAAGTGAACTAACCCATCTTTGGCATGCTGATGTTTCGTATGTAGCAGTATAAGATGAAGCTGAACCGACCTGTGAACATTTCAGAGTTTCAGAATTTTACATACAATTTTTGTTTCTTTCTATTCGAAAATAAGGTGCGTTAGTGTTTAAACAAAATCATCAAAGTTGCTCTTTTTTTTTTAAGAGTTATTATTTGTTTCCGTTGGGGGGGGGGGGAGGAAGCGGGAACGGCAACCACACCCTCCTTCATAGAAATGGCCCCGAACATGGATAGCACTACAACGTTAAATTCTTTTACAAAACATTGTCCAAATTTTGTAAATTTTTCTCCTTTTTTTTTAACTTATTGACCAAAACGGTATATTTCAAAACCTTTGGCTCAGGCCATTATCTGCGACCAAGCTCCTACCCGTTTCTAAATCACACGTTTAAAACTGCTCCACCACACTAGTATTCCCCTAAAAATACTGAAAGTCCTGCAAACTAATGAATGATAATTGACTTGTCTTAATTGGTTGAGTTGTATAGATATTTATGTACATAGCCAATTCATAACCCCCTCCTCAAATGTCATGCAGCATAATGTGCTGTTATGTGCACGCACGTTATGTCTGTTTTGCGGCGCATTAAGACGACATTCGTCCGCGATGTTTCTATTTTATCATTGACCCTATTTTTTGATGAACTGGCAATTAGCTCGGGCCATGGGCTTTCTATGACAGCCTTTTTGTATCTCTATATTTCGCTTTTTTACCGTAATTGTGCGATTGAAGCTATAGTATAGGTCATACCAATGC